TAAATGGTATGTAAAATTCTTATATGTTAAACAGAATTGTGTAGACAGTATAATTTATACATTGAACGGACTCATTTTTGTGTTTTTTGTTGTTGGCTTTATTTCATAGTTTTTTTTCAGACACCGAAAAACAAAAGCAAAATTATTTAAGAACCTTAAATATCAATAACTTACATCCCAAAGTAAGACCTGTAAAAGATGTCTTTGAAGTGAAGCTTGCCTATTAAATTGATTTACACAGATCAGTCCCAAAACCTATCACAGTGCTTCTATATTTATTATTTAATGATTTCATATCATGTTATATATATATATATATATATATATATATATATATATATATATATATATATATATATATATATATATATATATATATATATATATATATATAAGGAACTGAAGGAAATTGAACAAACAGGTGCAAAAGCATAAGAGAGAAAGAACATCAATTTAACCACAACAATAAAGCCATGCAAGTATGCAAAATATTACATTTTTGCTTACTAATATTTTTCCATCAATAAGTGAAGTTTCTAATTTTATTTAAGGAAAACGAGAGTAATTTACATCAATGATTTCCTAAAAATATACAAAATGCAAATGTTGCGTTTTTTGGTATAGGTGTTAAGATTTCCACAGGATATCCAAGAAGTAAAAAATAAACGAAAAGAAACAGAAGGATTTGAAATTAAGATTGATTTGTCTCCAATGTCTTCAAATACATCATTTTTATTATAATCACTCTATTCTGATTTTTCTTTACATGGGAACTGAACCTAACCCCGCTTTCTGTGTTATTATGAATTAAATATCAATACCGAAGATGACAGAGCACAGTAAGATTTATTAGTTAATTTTTGTCTAGGCATCGAGTGCATTTTGTTACTGTAAATATTATTCATTTTCCTTTTGATTCAAACATGTGTGACAAAGTAAGCCATAGATTTAGGGTCGATAGAATGGACCCTCGATTAGGCTTGACTGGAGTTCAAGACATAGAGTGGTAGCTTTTTTCAACTAATTGTTTTGTTGTACTTTATGTATTCGAGGCATTTGTTAGAAAAAAAATTCTACAGATAAAAATATAGTTACACTGTAGATATTTTGTAAGGCTTTAGCTGTGCAAGGAAAGAAATGCCGGACAATGTTTTCACTTTTCAGTAATAGATCTAATCTTTTATTTTATACTACTCTTCCCTACTTGGCCTTGTACTCTGTATATATGTAAATGTGTTCATGTACCATTGTATGGTTTGAGAGTAAAAAAAACAAAGAAACAAACAAATAATTACTCTTTTAGATTTCCGAATCTAGTCAATCTTGGTATCAATATTTCTAATTTTTTCTTTTACATTCACATTGACTTAAGTTATTTTATGTCTGTTGATTTTAGGGTATTTTTTTTACAGTTTTTATTTAGATAGTTAATTTTTTTTTCAATCTTAAGATCAATAATTAAAGTTTGTTGAATTTCTTTTATGTTCATTAACATTCAATATTAAAATGTAATTAAAATTCATTACATAGCTTGAAAGCTACTGGTATCTATATATATAAGATTACAAAATTATATGATCAATGGAAAGCATGTGATTTGTTTTGCATAAACCTGTGATATAACAGTGGCGGATTATATATAGATATAAAAATCACAAGGGTTTACTAGAAGTAGTTATTAATTAATTCTTGCAATTAAAACAAATTATAATTGAACATTCCTATCATTCTCTATCATTCTACAAAAAGTTTCTCTATCATTCTACAAAAAGTTTTTAGCACGTGTCTTTTTATTCTGTTTTGATTTTACGTAAGCCACAGTTTTTCGGTCTTATTATATTCTTCACAACTCTATATCAAACTTATTAATGCCTACTTGTTTATATATATTTAACAACCCTCGTGTATATATATATATATATATATATATATATATATATATATATATAGATATAGATATATATATATATATAAAGATATTTGAAAATGTCCTGATTCAAATGGTATCTGTGATGGATACATTTCAATTATCCGGTAATGACCAATTTGAAACAAATATTGAACTTGATCATTCCGATTTTTATTTCAGTTATAGGAACTAGTTTATTTCATATGTTGTTGCTGTTTATCGTGACAATGTGGATGAAAATAAAACAAAAACAACACAGATACAGCAAAATAGACAAACTTTAAAAAACAACTAAACAAAGTAAAAAAAAGAAGGAGACTTCATCCTCATATACATGTTAGTTAATTAATTATAATGACACGGAAGAGATCCTGCAATGTCATGGTCATATCTGCATATCGTGCACCTGGTTTTAATGATCTAATTAAGACTTAAATGTACTAATTTTGCTGTAAAGGAATACAGAATCATTATATTATAAGATGTTTCTCCGATTTGAACGATATTGAACAGAAGAAAACCACCTTATGAAACATAATACCAAGACATTATTTCATCGAAATAAAATGGCAAATTATAAAACAAATTGTTTACATAAGTATAGAAATAATCAGGTATAAAAAGTATTCAGAGTCTTTTTATTATTATTATCAATACCACTAGAGGGAAGGATTTTGTGCATTTATTAGTCATGAGTTATCAAACCGGAAGACAGGTAAATGGACAAGACATATGTCTAAAGTGGGCATCTTCTATGCAACATGCCAGTGCTGTGAAATAAATGGCCCTATGATTAAATCATTTTCTAACTATAGCAAAGTCCAATGTTATTGACCCCAGTTTATGATTAAATGTGGTCAGCAGTAAGTAATTAATGTAAAAACATAGTATCTAAATCATTACTGTATCAGGTTATCAAAGATGACATTTTCCATTTAGTGGAGTTCAGCTATGAGCAGTATTATATTGGCTATTAGCTGACGCATACTGTGTCATCCATTGTTTGATCTGAGAAAAAGATTCACCAATTCCGTGTAAAAAATTGTAACAGATCTTCACCCACATATGGAGAACATTTGCATTTTTTAATGTATAAGCTAGAGTGATCTCAATATTTTTCAATCACAATTAATTTATTATTGCGAAATGCAGTGAATGAATGAAACGATATATTCATGCCTCTAAATACTTCCTCATTAGTTTAAATATTATATTTTTCCTTACATTGTGTGGAAAGTTTTAAGTAGCATGCTACTTTGTTGAGGTTCTTCATTTAGAAAGGATTTTTTTCAATGTAAATACGTGTTTCCTTCTATTGTTGTTGTTTTTAACTTTTCTTATAAAATGACGAGCCATTTTTAACTTTGTGATTATATTTTCAGGTTTTGATGATCAAAATGATAAGTAGACTAGTAAACGAATATTGCCAAATTATTGTATATGCCCTCATAGGTAATTAATTGTGGAATAACAAGGAAGAGAACTGTGTCTTAAGTTTTTCCTGAAAACTTGTTTCCTTTTCCTTATTTTCATGTATGTATACCATAGAAAATATAAAGTGTATATAAATTGCAAAACAGGAACTTTAGACTTCAGGGTAATTACTGATTTGAGTACTAAGAAAATTAGACATTTTCTATAAACACAGATTCTACAACAATGAAGTTATGTCATCATTAAGTGATCATTAATTCCTTTTGATTTTACTTCATAGATTTTTTCATATATGCAAAGAGTGCTTGAAATCACTTGAATAAACATGTATTTGATTGCGGCTAATTGATATTAAAGAAAAAGAAATGGAAGTAAAGTCGACCCTGGACACTATTGATATACTGTAAAATCACATATTTTTGAGGTGTCAGATTTTCGTGGTTTGGGGAAAAAATATGGGTTCAATGGGATTTGATCCCGTAGATGTAGAATTGTTGAATAGTAATGTACACGTGTGTATATTTCGTGGTAGACATAAATGGATGGGTTAATATTCATACCTTAAAAACGACGAAAATTAAACCCCTACGAAAATAAGTGATTTCACGGTACACTGGTACTTATATTATTGCAGCTATTGAAAATATAATAAAGTGCTCTACTTTACTAAAGGCGACAAGAGATTAATTTTATCAGAAAAGGTAATTAATTACAATATAAAAAAGAAATATTTCTTATTTTATTATTCAAATGCTAAATAATTATGACACAGACATAGTTTCCCCATTTTTTTTTTACCCAAAAAGTGTACAGTAATTTTTTAGTTATTTGTTTCTTCTGGGTGAGAAATGATTATCATTTGTCTTAAAAGAGAAAGAAAACCTTGTCATTCAAATGGGGATTTTTTTCCCAATTAGTTGAATTTAAAACGTAGTTTTCATTGCTTCAACACAGTGTAGGAAGGTTCATTTTCCGTGACGTTAACAGTCTTCGAACATAGAAATTTTCCAGATTGCACAGCGATGTATTGTCATGGATTGTTTGACAATGTCCTTTGCATTTATTTCTCACCAGAATTAAGAATATTATTAATTATCCCAATCAGTTTGTGGTATATAAATAACTGGCTTCTCTTGACTAAATATTTAGGAACAGGTGGATACTTTATGAAACATATGCACGTATGTAACATATTTTTGAACTTTAATGAATTTAAATGATTGGGGATACAAATAAATATGGAGATGTCATTCATTTGTATAAAAATTTGATTTATGCTTTTGAAGATATTTTTGCACTTGTAAGGTTCATTACGAAAGCGGTTATAATTTTAATGATTACACAAATTCTCATGGCACGTGTTAAAATACCACGTGACCACAAAATTTCAAATAAAGTCGAAAATTAAAGATGAAAATAAACAATTTTTCATTGTAAATTGTAAGCTCCTTAAGGGCCTATAAACTTGATATAGTTATGTGACATTTATTTGTCGTACAAAAACAGCCACAAATGTCTTTTTACTATGCATGATCCGTCTGTCAGACATTAGGTCCGCCCTCTTTTCTCATCAAGGTGTGGATTAATAGAGACTCGGAAGATCACTGATCAATAGTCTCCGATCAGACTTTGATGTGATAAGCGGACTAAGCCATCTGTTTACTCAAAACTACGATGTAATGGTGATAAGTTCTCTTCCCGTTTCCATTTTATCGTGATTTAACAGTTCTTGCTACTGATTGAAATCCATTAAAATAGAATACATTCAATCAGATCAGGTAAACTTTCTGTTTTAAACAATTTTTCATCACGTTTATCTTCATCCTCTGTAGACCAACGATTATTTTTTGTATGTTTTTTTCTCCCTCAGAATGAACTCCAAGTATTTAAATTATTCCGTTCTGTTCCTCGGCTATTTTGGCTGTGTCAACTTCACTGTCAGTGGCACCCATCAGACATTTCACAACATCAGAAGAAGGATGAACCCCTTCCAGAGAATGTGCCTCTGTAACAGACTGAACCCGAGGGTACTAAGCAGAGCAGTGTTAGAAATGTATCCCGGACTTTTTAATACTCAGAGGAGTCTGCGATTTATGCCTGTTGTCAAACCAGTGGGAGAACATTCACATTCACATGGCACGGGATCTTATGTAGGAAACACAGTAACAAATCTTAACGGGGAATCCAAGTCATGTTGTCCCACGTAAGTACAAAAAGGGCATAACATCTCTCATTTTCATCATTTCAAAAGAATATATTCTTAAAAATGATTTAGTAAATCAATATGTGTTTCGTGATGCTGCAATAATTTAGTTAACAAATATGCTATTTGTGATATTGCAAGTTCCATATTTTGTAATAAACTTGTTCACTTATCATTGACATTACCAAAAAATTGAGAATTTCAGCTCAAAAGAGTTGGAACTAATTGACGTTTTTTGTTTGAACAATTACATCAGTTTAGCAAAAGAATTTTGTGATTTCAACCTTACAATGCATCAATTTCATAAACGTCGAAGACGAAAGTTTTAAGTAAAATTCTAGGATTGTAATGTTTCTTTTTAATGTTAGCAAGAAAGGACTGATAGCTAGATCTGAGGAGGAAGTTAAGGTTAGGAGGAATATATATTCTCTTTGAATGACTTCTCTATCACTAATCATTCTATGACAATAAATAATTGTCCTTTTCTTATCGTCATCTAAGTTGGAATATATATTTTATGACTACATTCGAAGCAATTCTCCTAATCATGTCGAATTTGTAATTTGTATGTATCTGTAAATATATTGGAATGATTTCGTATGTAAATGTATTTATTTATATGACAACACGAGACGTCGAAATAGAAAGCGAGTAATATCCACTTGAAAAATTGGTAAACTTGTAAGATACATACATCTAATAACAGTCTAATGTACAAATTAGGAACATACTCATAGTCTCAAAATGCGGAAAAAACTACATCTAGATTGTTAGCTAAACTGTTAGGTACACATTCTAACTCTAATAAGGTCAGTGATTTCCAAAATCTAGTAACTGTGTTACAAGACTACATTAAAGATGGGTGTTCCGAAAACTTCCGTTTTCACGCATTTAAAATCAAATTAGTAATCGTAAAAATTTTGTATATTATTTGTTCGACCTTAACCACAGTATAAATAATTCATGAAAAGACAACATTGATCACAGATAGAGATGAGATAATGCTTGTTCACACCACCTTTATTTTACATTGTACTTTAATGTCACACAATTTCCTCATCTGAGTTATTATTGTAACAGGTCCAAAAGGAAGGGGTGATTAGTAATTAAACCAAATTCCCCAAAACGTCCTAATTAAGGCTATTTTACCATATTACATCTATTCATTTCATAATTTATGATTGTATTTTAAAACGCAAAAACTCTTGATCATAATTTTTAAGCAAAACAACGCATTTCAATCTACTACTGGAAACAAGAATGTTTACAAGGCTTTATACATGTACCTATTTAATCTATTGGTATATTTTCCAAGTTTCTCTCAAATAGGCTTATTTTTTTAAGACCTTTAGATGCCAGACAAGAAAAGAATTCATATCTGCTCATGTGAAGTCTTAAAACGACAGAAAAATAAATATTGTTATTGACATATCAAAGATATATAATTCCTTTGAAACATGTTTTGCATACATATAAATTATATTGAAATATTTCGTCCAAGAAATGAGTCTTTGACATTAATTTATTTTATTTTAGTCCAATATTTCCTTTCTTGTTTGAATTCTACACCTCCTCAATATGTAGTAGTATCAAATTTTTTTCTTAACCTGTTGACAGAATAAAGGTTAAAAGTTACGGATTCGACAATTTCAGAACAGCATGTTTCTATGGATATGTATTTTCAACCCTTTTCATTATTATTCTTAACATGCAAATATGTATAAATTGATTTTTATAAGGTAAAATTTCACTGAAAACAAAAAAGGGTGCCTAAATTATCAAATTAATAGTGGCAGCATTAAAATTCCTTCTGTATAAAATGAAAAAATTCAATAAATTTGCATGTACTTTTATTAACAAGAGAGGATATCAAAGCTAAATGCTAATTACTGAAAAAAGACTTTCTTTGAAGTACAGCGAACAAAAGTAATCAAATATTTCAAAAACGTACTTCAGGTCGTCAGATATTGTGACATTGTGATTTACTGAAAAGGCTGCACCAAGTTCGTGGCGACTGAAGCAAAATTGACTCCTCTTTCTCATTAGTCATTGAAAACATGTCCAAAGGTCGAATTAAAGCATTTGTTTTTAAATATCAATATGCCTGGTATTTCTGTGATAACTTTGTCCTACAAATATTCGTGTAAAGTTTGTTTAATTTAATATTTATACGTTATTATTCATTTGTTACTATCACATTCTTTGGGTCCTTAATGACGTTTCCCTCATTTCTATTCTCTTTATGTAACTTTTAAAACTTAAGATTAAGAAGTTGAGTGTAAATACATGACTGCATTTCCACATTAATATAACTTTATTTTTATTTGAACCAAGCCTAAGTTTAATGAATTTTAAAGTTAGTTTTGAAATTAAAAAAAAATGAACGAAGAAGTGAAGCTGTTTGATCAATGGAGTCTTTCAGAACTTTCTACAATATACAATTGCATTAATCATGCAGTTACACAATTAAAAAATAAATATGGACATGAACATCAACATATTTTTTTTTCTTCGTATAGGTGTGTTTGGTGATTGATTATGAATTAGAATACTGGTTTCTTTTATGCTTTGACAGCTTGAAATGTGCACTCTCCTTTTAAATATACTATTTATATAATAACCTAAATGTCTAAATTTCAAACATAGTTTGAATCGATTCTTGCTCAGAGCGTTTTGTTTTATCATATTTGATAATAAGATCTCTCATACTTCTTAAATTACAGTGTATTGTATTGGTAACTTTTTTTTACAGAAACTATGCTTTTGAAATACTCAACAAAACCAAAGAGAACGGCAATCAACTACGTGTTGTTCACTTTGATCATCAGTATCAATTTGTTCCAGTTGGTCGATGTGTGTAAGTATTATATTTAGACTAAACTATTATCTTAATGCGATACTCCATATCCAATTAATAAATAGAATTTATAGAAAACAAGATAGCTTGGATATCTACATCAAGATTGATGAATGTTTTTAATATTCGTTTTAGGTCGAATTCAGCTGGAAAATGTGGGTGGGGTTCTTGTGTACAGATGTACAGACATTATTGGATGCTGGTGTGGGACGATGATTTAACTCACTTCCCACCCGTTAGGTTTATCCCGGTAGAAATCCCCTCCCATTGTGAATGTGTCAATGTTGGAAGAAAAGGATGATACGTGATAACAGTTTGATATGCTATATAATTGAGAACAAGGATGACTGTTGGTCATACTGAGATTGGTGGGAGATTCCTGGACCAATGACGAGAATATCTCTCAGTGACGTACCAGCAGGCACTACGACCGAAACATAGAAAATAACATTAAATACTTTACAGGACCTGTTTAGGTTGCACTTTAATTATGTGGTGAAATTTGCTGTTGATGTGTGACCTTTACTTTTCTGTCGGGGTGAACTTCCTTACGCTTGTCATAACTTATTTGAACATTTCCGTCGGTTCTTGATCATTTATTGTGTTCTGTTAGAAGATGAGACTTTTTCAGCTGTCATTGTGATAAGCATTTACTGAATGACATGGACTCTGATTTTCAGATGTCTACCTATATATTAACTACATGGAGGAATGATCTTGAATAATTCAGTATTTCTTTGAGTTTTATTTGACATTCATTTATATTTTTGGGCGTTCATACACTGTTGGTTTTTGTCGATTCATGCTTTCAATAAATCTTATCTTGTCAACGAACAATAATCAATTTGTTATCTTCAAATTAATAAGATATTCAAATTTAGAAGTCCCGATCATCAAATTTCTCATTTGAGCTTCAAGGAAAATGACTGAATTGGCGATAAACCGAAAAAAAAGTTGAACTGTAATGTTTTACATAAGCTTCCTTTCTGTGAATACTTTTTTCTTATATCTTTTTATTACGTACTATTGAACAGCTGAAAGCTTAGCAAACATTTCAATATTTTAGCGTCTCGTAAACCAGTATACATTTACTTTTACTTACTGGTAAATAAGTTGTATAATTCTAAGGACTTTTTCCATATATATATATATATATATATATATATATATATATATATATATATATATATATATATATATATATATATAAAAACATAGCAACGTGTTTTTTTACGTTGTAAAAATAATATATTATTACTTTCATTGTAGTGTGTAAAAATTGTTGATTTATACACATGTATATACTTGAATGTACATTCTTTAAACTTTATTTATTTTTTATTTTATTCATAAATACATTTTTAAAGTGTTGTTCTTTAAATGAAAAAGAAATGCTGTGATTGTTCTAGATCTGAATATAAAGCTTGCTCTGCTGTCTTATATATTTAAGAAATAAACAACGATGTTAAAAAGTTCTCTGGGAAATGAACTTGGTTGGTCACGTGATCAAATCCTGTGAAGCCCGAAGGGCTTCTCAGAAGATTTGATCACGTGCCAACCAAGTTCATTTCCCAGTGAACTTTTTAACATTGTTGTTTATTACTTTTATTCACATTTGAGACGAATAATCTGAAAAGAACTGCATTTATTACTCGAACGGCCCACCGTATTGCTATGTTGTGATGCGCAATGACCTAGAAGCTGTTTGGTCTTGATAGTTCGCCTCGCTCCAACATTCGAATACTTACATTGATGTTCAGCGGTCCCGTTCAGGAAATATCTGTTCATAATGAAAAAACCATGATCGCTACTGTGAATAATCTCACTATTATTGTATGAGTTCTTAATATATGAAGTCAAAAGCGGTGGTATCATCTTCAGTTTACATACCTTCAAAGGAATTTCGGGTTAAAAAGGTAAGCGTGATTTTAGGCTAATTAAAAACGTTCTTCACACCGTAGAAAGAACTAATGATCATTTGTTGAACAAAAAACATATATGTTTCAATAATTTTATCTTTTTCATCGCTTTAACGGCTTAGAAGTTCCGAAACTAGTGTCACCGTGAAAGAAATATGTAAACAAGATATCATCTCGCTGTGTGATTCGGTCACGCCATGACCTCTGACCCCCTAATAAGTTCATTTAAGAAATAAACAACAATGTTAAAAAGTTCTCTGGGAAATGAACTTGGTTGGTCACGTGATCAAATCCTGTGAAGCCCGAAGGGCTTCTCAGAAGATTTGATCACGTACCAACCAAGTTCATTTCCCAGTGAACTTTTTAACATTGTTGTTTATTACTTTTATTTACATTTGAGACGAATATTCTGAATAGGACTGCATTTATTACACGAACGGCCCGCCGTATTGCTATGTTGTGACGCGCAATGACCTAGAAGTTGTTTGGTCTTGAGAGTTCGCCTTGCTCCAACATTTGAATACTTACATTGATGTTTAGCAGTCCAGTTCAGGAAATATCTGTTCATAATGAAAAAACAATGATCGCTACTGGGAATTATCTTACTATTATTGTACGAGTTCTTTATATATAAAGTCAAAAGCGGTGCTATCGTCTTCAGTTTACATACCTTCAAAGGAATTTCGGGTTAAAGAGGTAAGCGTGATTTTAGGCTAATTAGAAACATTCTTCACACCGAAGAAAGATCTAACGATCATTTGTTGAACGAAAAAAAAAATATATGTGTCAATAATTTTATCTTTTTCATCGCTTTGACGGTTCAGAAGTTCCGAAACCAGTGTCACTGTGACAGAAATATGTAGACAAGATATCGTCTCGCTGTGTGATTCGGTCACGCCATGACCTCTGACCCCCTAATAAGTTCATACAGAATTGAACATATTTTCTCTTCTATAGGTTCATCTAAGAAAAATATTTGCAAATGTAAATAAACAGAATTGAACATATTTTCTCTTCAATCGGTTCATCTAAGAAAAATATTTGCAAATGTAAATATTTACATTTGCAAATGTTTTCCCTATAACACTATTGAAAGCAACGCGCATCTATATCCGTATAAACACAGGTTCCTCGCGTCATAAACGTTCGACGTAATTTCTCAGCTCTTCGGGCTTTATGGAATTTGATCTCGTGACCAACCCGTATTTATATCCCGATAGATGTTTAAAAATGATACCTTATTTCTTAAATATAAGTGTATAAATGTAAATATTATTGCTCGCATTAAGCTTAAGTTAATAAATGATTTTTGAAAAAAAATCTTAGTATTTCTAAATTCATTTCTTTAGAATTTTTTTTATTATATTAAGAACAACAAATAAAAACTGGAAGAATAAAAGAAATCATGGTTTTTTTTTCCAGAGATTGCGTTTTCTCACCAGGTGTGCATGTATATAATCGTGTAGCATAATACTAAGTGCATGTATTTCTGCAGTCCAAATAATTTTACATGAGAACGATATTTATGTTAATGTTATTTTTGGAATTTTTGTCAGAGTTATCCTATTATACTTGTGGCTTGATCAACAATGTAAAGAATTCTAATGGTGAGTGAAAAGGGCTTATTTATGGTCTAAAGATTAATAAGTTCTGTGAGCATGTGTTTGTAAGTGTAAAAATAGGGAGAAGACAACATTCCAAGTCATTGTAGAAGAATCTTGTTATTTCAAGGCAAATGAATAAATTATTGATTTGCAATAAAGAAAATCAGGAAATATGTCGAGTCTTTATGTGTGGCTATTTACAAAACATGACAAAGAATGGTTGATTTAATAAAAAAATAAAAAAAGAGACATTCTTTGATAAATTTTTGTAATATCTGAAAAAAAAGTTATGTGATGAAAGAAATAAATTCTATGAATAAGTAATTTTCAATTTTTGAGATAATTTATATAACTTTTTCACATTGAATTGTAAGACTGTGATTAAATATATTTTCAAGAAGAAAAAAAATGTTCAGATAACAATAATTGAGATTACAATAATTGACAGAAATTTTAGGGTTATCTTCTAAGGGACAACATTTTTGTAACTATAAAATGTACGAGTGAATGGTTATATTGAAAATTTCGTTAAAACTTATTAGTTTTTTTTTCCTAAACCTTATTGTAGTCCAATGTAAAGTGACAATCATTTTTTTTTACACTATAGTTAATTATAGTAAACTATAGTTTACTATAGTATTTGTTAAGGTTATTTTAAATAACTTTGCAGTAAACAAACTGATCTGTACATTCATTACCAAGTTGGACTGACACAGACATAAAACTATATTTCTATTTGATACGAGTTAATATAATACAAGCTTAAGCGAACCTTAGGTCGACATAAGTTAGAAAGAGTTCTTTGATACTTACAATTTAGAATATGAGGAAATGTTGCGCTGGTAAATTGTTTTGTAATTTTTTAAATTGAAATATTTTTTTTTAGTTTCTTATGTTTTTGATTTCAAAAGTGTTAGGTGATCAAACAAGAAAAGAAATTATCCATTCGTATTTTTCATGGTGTGACAAGAAATGAAACGTTTGTCCATTGTAAAATTATAGTCAGGACAATAATATTATATGTACATTCACTGTTAATCCCTGTGACTTTAACATTCTCGACTGTCCATGGGTCAGGGTCCTGGAATTGACCATGGATCAGGATTCTAGAACTGACCATAAGTCAGGATCCTGGAACTGACCATAAGTCAGGATCCTGGAACTGACCATGGGTCAGGATTCTGGAACTGACCATGGATCAGGATCCTGGAACTGACCATGGGTCAGGATCTTGGAACTGACTATGGGTAAGGATCTTGGAACTAACCATGGGTCAGGGTCCTGGAACGCCCTCTGATCAAAACTTCCCCTATCACAAATATAACTTTTTACCTTTTCTTTATAACTAACACAGAATAATCGGACATAGTCTAATTATCGTTTTGATCATTACTTCTTTTGTTTCAAGCTTGAGCTTCTAATGTTTTTCTTTCTAAATGCAACCAATCATGTTAACCTTCCCGATGGCTTATGATATTAGGTAAGGTCAGGTCAGGACACGTTCTATGGAAATAACTACCGTGGTGACAAATATAAATTCCCCATGTTATGAGCAATGGTAAAGTGGACAAAGAGACAGATATAAAATTTTTAAAAAATATATCGACCAGCACTATGAACCGAGTGATAATAATATATTTACATATTGCTATCTCCATATTTGCCGCCATACATTTTCTGACAGGACTTCTATGTTAAAGGTGATAAGATAACAGAAAGTCAACGTGTCATTGAGAAGCACTCTAATTTTCAAAGTAATATTGTTAAAGAAAAGAACAATTGACTTGAAGATGGCCAGTGAATTCACTCTCTGTCCAGCTTGTGGAAAACTCTTCGTGGATCCTGTTACCTTGAACTGTTTTCATACTTTCTGTTTGAAATGCATGACAAACACTAAAGGAAAATACATTTGCTCTCTGTGTGACAAAGAGCAAAGTCAAGAAGGACAAAATTGCTTCAAAAAAGACAATTTTATGGAAACATTTTGTGACGTCATTAGGATGGAAAGAAAGCTCAGTGACGTATGTTTTTCTTGTAGCGAATCAAGTGCTGTGAATTACTGTTTTAACTGTCAGAAATCCTATTGTGTAGATTGTTCTAAGCAACATCAATTAGAATGTAATAATACACATAAAATCTTACCATTTACTTCTGTTCTCGAATGTGGATTTGATAGAAGGAAATCTCAGCCGGATTCATGTGGAATTCATCATTTGGATGTTTCACAATTTTGTATGACATGTAAGAAACTCGTATGTGGGGATTGTGTGATCTCGGGTCACAAAGGACATTGGTGTCTTCCTACCCAGAAAGCTCTGACACAGTGTGCTACTGACATAAAGAGAACAGCAAAATCCTTGAAGAATTTCCATCAACAGATTCACAAACAAACAATGCTTGTGTTGGAGTATTTATCACTAGAAGAAAAAAGAATTGAAATTGAAATTAAGCTTATGTTTGAAAGTATACGAAAAGTGTTAGACGAAAGAGAAAAACTATTAATCGAGAACATTAAACTTGTATTTGACAAGGAGAAGAAAATTTTAGAAGAGCAAGAAAAAACTTCTTCCAAAATGTGTTCCTCCGCATCCGCTGCAAGTTCGAAGCTAACATTCATTAACAAGTATGGCACTGCCACAGAGATGTTGTCCTATCACTCCAAGGTCAAAGACAGTGAACTATCGACATACATCGAGTCCAATGTGCAACTACTCCCAAAAGCTGTCGTGTATCAATCATCCTCATTGATGTCTGAAATTGACACTCTTCTTGAAAGATTGAATTGCGCCATCTCTTACCAGAGAGGAGACTATGTGAAGCGATTATTGAACAGGTAACAAGTCTCACGCCTTCCATAAATCAATCCATCAAAATCATGAATGATGATGAATCAATTCTAATACACTGAAAAGCATTCATTAATAAAAGTGTGAAGATCTGTTTAATTCATAAAAATCTTTATTTCATTTTTTCCATATGGTTTGTACTCTAATGGATATCATCATGATAAGTTCAATATGCAAATAGACATTAAAACATTTACAAGAAAGACAATAATACTAGCTACATGTATTTGTATCATTCAAATATGATGTCGTTTAACAACAGCTAATCATGTATTGCATCAATCCCGTATTATTATGGTTCACAGTAATTTTTAAACAGTTCATGACTTGTATGATCTTCAAGTTCATCAATCCGTTTGATATCTCTCCTCTTTCGTACTTGTGATTTTATTTGGCTTTGAAAGACCCTGGTGGGTCTGGCACAACCCTGCTGATTGCCAGAAGAATATACACATAAAGTGACTCCTGGTTTTTCTTTTACAGTTGCAGTGACCGGCTTAAGGACACTTGCTCAAACAAGGGAGACGGATAATGATTTGTCAAGGCAGAAATCCGTTTAATTTTCCGTCAACCAGGCTGGATCGCCTGCTTGTGCTTAATGGTCGTCGGATAAATCCATTTCTTGAGTGTGTGACTGATTCAGTAGAGTTTATGGATCCATTGACAGACGGAGTTCGCATGCTATGTGGACCACCATTCATCGGCTCCACTGTCTTTACTCTGGGAGAGACTATTTTTGGTGAACGACATTTGGATTTGAAAAGAGTTATTATAAACACAATCAGAAAGGCTCCTGTAGCACCGCAAGCGCATCCAATCCCAATTCCCAGCATTAAACGATCTGTAAATTTCAAAAAAAAGTTAAGTTTCTTATTAATGTGCTTTTAATTGTCCATTATTATAGTTTTAAAATAGTTATATTGATCTATTCAGATTAAAAAAAAAAACAAGTACTCAACTTGCAAAAATAAGGACCAGGTCCTGGATGTTGAACCTTTCATACAGTGTAGACAAAAACAATTATAATTCAAGCATTAGGATTTTTCCTTATTTAAAAATTCAAGACTCCGGTACATTTTAAACTTGATGAAATTTGATTTAAGCTTTACGTGTGTCAAAATCGACAATTGAGAAATTTGATTATCATGCTTTAGAGTTTAGACCAACGGCACTTAAAGTAATGCTTTGATTTACATTGTAATTGATCTCCTTGTTTGCTAGTTTTGTATTATTTAAGAATTTTTAATATATATTATGTTGTAGAATACAAAATGAAAATAAATGCAATCAAATTTAAAACTATTATTTATTGAACCTTCAGGCACGTTGTATCGATGGGAAGCCCCCACCCCCACCCCCTTTTGCCGGAAGAAAAAATTTCAACTTTTGAAAATGTTTATTGAAGGCTGGTTACCCCCCCCCCCTCTTTTTGTTGCAGTAAAGTCAAATCAGGGTAATGTATTGATAAAAATTGAAATCTGATAGTGAAAAAAGTTAGAACCTTATAATTAAAAACCAGAAGTCTCTGACGAGACTGTAGCTCTACTGGTTTGTACTTATAACGAAGGAAGATAAAAGTAGCACTTGGACTTGAAACTTTGCAACAGCAATAAATAGAATAATGATCCTTGGTTTAGTCTCTTTTTGTGGCAAGATTTATTGCAATCAGACTAAAACTGTAGGAGGAGTAGACTTTTGAAAGAATTTTACAGATATTGCAATTTTAGTACCATGGCAACATCATTCAACAAAATCAAAAAAAAAAAACAATAAAGTCAATTATGTATCTTAGTGTAGTCTATCTGTGTGCCAAGTTATACTGAAATTAGATCAAAACTGTAGGAAGAGTAGCATTTTGAAAGTATTTCCCAGAAATTTCTATTTTTAGTAACCATGGCAACACCGTTCATCGAAATCAAAAACCAATAGATAGAATTATGTATCTTAGTGTAGTCTACTTATGTGCCAAGTAACATTGAAATCAGACCAAAACTGTGGGAAAAGTAGCAGCATTTTGAAAGTATCTCAAGGAAATTTCTATTTTTAGTAACCATGGCAACACCATTCATCGAAATCGAAAAAAAAACCGATGTACAGAATTATGTATCTTAGTGTAGTCTACTTGTGTGCTAAGTTATACTGAAATCAGACCAAAACTGTGGGAAGCATTTTGAAAGTATTACAGAGAAATTTCTATTTTTAGTAACCATGGCAACACCGTTCATCAGAATTAAAAATCGATAAAGAGAATTATGTATCTTAGTGTAGTCTACTTATGTGCCAAGTTACATTGAAATCAGACCAAAACTGTAGGAGGAGTAGCGTTTTGAAAAATTGTTTACAGACGGACGGACAGACAGACAGCTTGACAGACGGACGGACGACGGACACCTTACTATCGCATAAGCTCTTCTGGTCTCTGACCAGTAGAGATAAAAAATCAAAACCATCTTTTAAAAATTTTTTAAAAGTGTCAAAAGAAGCACGAATAAGATGCGATTTTAACAAAAATTAAATATGGGTATGTTTTTACTGCTTTACTTCCGTTGACATTCTGTTTGATTTTAATTTCTGTTTCTTTTATCTACTTACATTTTTTGCATTTTTCTTTTCTTTTTTTTTGCTATCTTCTGTATTTTTTTTATGCAGTGAGAACCAGGACTTAAAAAATGAGTACATAGTCTGAATAACGCTAGCTAATAAGTGTTGTATCTGAAGCCAATGTCGAAAACCCAAACTCAATCTCATAAACACAACATAAATGTCGAAAACAAACCCGACTCCAAATGCAAAACAGCAAACAACATGACCCCCCCCCCCCCCTTCCCAAAACTTAGTTCTACAAAAGTACTGTCCTTTGCAAACGTTTTTGAAAGAGCCATCTTTAAACGTTGTGATGAGCACCACCAAGCTTAAGAATGCCCAGCGCCAAGCATAAGGATTCGTAAATTTAACGAAATGTCGATGTATCTTATTCCTACATTGATTAAGGTAATCAGACAAAAATCAAATTCTAAATCTGTGAACTTGTTTCGTATGTATTACGTCAAACAATTCAATTCTTGGTGTTGATAAACTACAGAAATTGAAGCCAACTTTCAGGATTGGGAATTCCAGATCTAGCTTTATATCGGTGCAAGAGTCCCATAATTCGTCCCGTAAACGTCAAATACTACACACTAAGGTTTAAATCATGACTCATTATATGAATGAACTTTGGAAACTCTGAATAAATCGGTTTACAGACTTCAGACACGTAGTAATGTAGTACAACAAGGAGAAAACGGTGTGATTATAGCTAGTGAGTATTACCCTAATTACAACCATAAGTTTAATCTAATAAAGTAGATTAATACTTGACAGCTTACCACTAACAGTGTTTACTTAATCCTTTATACTGTATTAATCTCTCTATTTATAGCTAGTGTGAATCTTTTTTAAAATGGTTTTGTAATACTCAGTACATGGCATCGAAGTAAAGAATGGTAAACTTTCTATCTAAAATTGTTAGCACTACCATCTACATTATAATCTAATTAAACATACTTTACAATGCAAAATGTAAATTTCATTATCAAGTGCTCTATTCTTAAGCATGCTGTGAATGTAGACGAAAGCTGGTTTGCTAAAGTGACGTACGCTCTATAATTCACAGTAGTTTAAACTCTATTTTTCTAAAATACTCATATATGTAAAAATTTCTTACCAATGTCATTTTCAATATCTAAAATGTTAGGCAAAGAAGTTAGTCAAGCCGCAGTCCCTGATATTGTGAAAAAAGATACCATTGCCATGTTGTGAGATGATTGATAAAGATTAAATTAAAAAGTTGACAAAAAATCTAAAGTTAGTTTAAGAGTATTACCTTCTGATGACGTCACAGGATTGGATGATACCACCTCCACAACATGAGTGTATTTGATTAGAAATCCTGTGTAACTAACGGATCCGTCTGACTTAAACTTGAGGAGAAAACTAGTTCCATTACTGACGTAAGCACCTGTCACACCATTTGGATATCGGGAGCAAACGGCGGCTAGTTTTGTATTTTCACAAACATAATCACCTGATAATGAAAAAATTTAAGATACCTCAAATAAACAGTTTTCTTAGATTAAATACCATTACGAAATTAGGAACACCTAAATATTATGTACAAATTATTTTAATATGAGTTTCACCTTGATGTTTTGCTTACCATCATAGATCTCCAGTGAATCGAAAGCACAGTTGGTTGATGTTTCCACATCGCTGTATATGATTTCAACCTTAACTGTCCCTGCGGAAACAGTTAACACCCATCGACAGTTGGAACTCCTAGGATTAGAAATAATTCAACACGATCAGGACTACAATCTGCATTTGTCTCTTTACCTTTATTTTAAATGATACTGTTATCAAAATTAGCTTACACGTCATAAAGACCTGGAAAACTTGGTGATGTCAAATATTGTGGCGTTGTAGTTGGTGTAAGAGTCTGTTCCGCTGTACAACCTGTTCCAGCTATTAAATAACGTGAAAGTTAGACATCCACTTTTGTTTCTTTTATAATCATACTGAACTTCGAAGACATTTTTTCAAAGACGCTTATGAATATTTATTGCTTGGCACATTCTATCAATTATTCATTCCTATAATTCCGATCATTTCCCATCCTTGGTGGTTAAGAACAAAAAAACCAAACAAATACATGTTTGACGACTTTGAGCAATCTTATGTTCCAAATAAACAGAATTAAATACCAATATTACAAGTTTCTTATGTTATATTTACATAAATCCGCTGCAGAGAAATATGCAGCCTCGAATCCAACCGACTGATTAACAGCATCTGTTGTAAATCTCAGTGTCATATATTGTGAAGATGACGTCACTATTTTGTCGGAGGCACCAGTTCCACATATGTTTGATTTCAGTGATGTTCCCGAAACGCTATTTCCTATTTAAAATGAAAGAAGTAAAAGTCATTAATGTCATCATTAAACTAACATCCCCCAGTTTCTTTACTGATGACATCACAGTGATTAATGATTTGAGATGTAAAAATATGCTCTAATTATTGGTTTGTCAAAATACGACCCAACAATATACAGTTATTGACTGAGTATGAGGGCAACATATGATTCGTTGGACCTGAAGGTGAAAATGTTGCCCGAGGCCGCAGGGCAACACTTTCACCTTCAGGTTCAACAGATCGTACATTACCCGAATCCCAGTCTATAACTGTTTTGTTATACCCTTCACTTCAGATAGAACAATTAAGATGAACAGATTTAATCAATATATAATCAATTGCTTTCTTTGGAAAATTTTGGCTTGATCAATAAAGATAAAATAATAGGAAAGAATGAAAAAATCAAAAATAAAATTATTATATCACAAAAATTATCTATCTCACAAAACATACTCTTTCATATAGCAAACGACAACTCCCGCAGCTCTAAACTTCGGCTATTTCCGTGTCACCGATATTGTACGACGATTAATTTCTTGTGACGTAGCAGTGACGTTGCGGTCTAACAATTCTTATGATGGACTGGCAGACCGGTCAACATCAAGATTGTTAGACCGATGCAATAAACATTTCTTCTGTTGTTCTGTTATAACAATAGATTGTATTTGCAAACAAGGTCATTATAACGACCATAGAATTTGCTGACTTTAAATGACATAATTGAAAACCCTGCAACATCAACCTATTTGTTAGTGGCCGGCATCAATTTAAAATTTGATCGTTCTCAGAATATGCTCTTGCGTGCGAATCAGTTGAGAGACAAAGCACCATATGCAGGTGAAAGTGGAATAATATTACATAAATATTATAGTGAAAATTGAAGATGGAAAACCTAAGTCATTCCGCTTTTCGTATAGTTCTTAGCTGACCGTTGTCGTCTATGGTCAGTTAAATGTCCAAGTATAAAATAGATGTGGCAGACTCTGTAGTGTCTTTTTCGAGTTCACCGGGATATTTCAAGGTGACATATAGATAAAAATAAGTACTGTTAATTCATAAATCGTCTTCGATATATCGAAATATTAACTGAATGCCAAACCAAAAGTTTTTTTTTTCTCGTGCATGTTATTTAAAATAAATTCTGCTTAAGGATAAAGAATTAAAAAAAAAAGGTTGCAGTATCAGTGCTCATCGGAATTCCAGCAAACATTCTGTAAGACTTGGTATCTCGTCTCCAAAGACAACTTAGATATTGTCAATGTGGGGACTCCAGCATCTTTTGAATATCAACTTCAGAGTACTTGTGAGTAGAATCATTTTAAGGATTTTTAACAAAGTACATGTAACTTTGTAGATGACCAATAACAAGATATGAAACTTTTATTTATCATGAGGAACGATGGTATAAAGCGTTGAAAAGTCACACGTTTTGGAGTTATTGATTTTTGGAGAATTTTGTGATCTTAATATAAGGATATAGCTCCTTTTTGTTTAAATTCCACGTGCAATGAATCACAGGTGTACATACAACTTTAAATATATATTTTTAACAATTAAAATGCTCAGCCTATTTTTTAAATGCAAAAATAATCACCAAGTAATTAATTAGTTTCTTCACATCTTAATGTGTTCCTTTATCTCTCCTGTATTTGTATTCGACATATCAATTTTTGTTTCATATTAGAAAATTAATAATTATCTTTACATTTGTATTGTGTATATTGTAATTCTTTTAGCACGGAATGAATATCAGTGCATTTATGTTAATAGGACGCTTGAAACCTCCAGTAAATCTTATTCAAAATGTAGGGCAGTGTGCTATTCCTGTCTGCATGGATCTTTTTAGCACATTGTGTGAATATTTTTACTAAAACAAGACTCTAATCTTATCTAAATGAATTACATTCTTATAAAGTAGTAGTCATGATTAATAAGCTTTGGAAAACTAAATCATGCAAGCAAATGGAAAAGAAAATGACAAAAACTATGTTATCAAAGTATTCAAAAACTTTATTTGGAAGTCGTTGTCCAGGATGTGTCTTTATTTTGCCTTCACATTTATTCTAAATAAGGATTATAGATGTCCAAAATGTTTGTCTCTTTCAATTAAAAATTCGAAAATAAAAAAAAAAAAATAGTAGCAAAAACTTTTCATGAGTAACTATAGATTAAGGCATCTTTTTTCATGCATAACTTTTTCTCAAGAATCCGAACGTAAACGTATTTTTTTTCTAAATTAAGAGCATATTAAGTAAATATTTTTAATTAAAGAGTCAATTAAGTCTTTCACTCAAATACGTATTACTCTAGATCTATGTAAACTTTGTAAATGTAAATAAAAACAATCAACATCGTAAAACATAAATATACCGTAAATTTACGTCGTTAAAATTATTTAGCATTGAGAAATACAGTCAAGAATATCGATGGCTGATATTTGCATAGCATACTCTGTCATGAATGTCTTTATCATGATTAGCCTATATTAACTGACAGATAACTTTAAACACTGCTGTCAGATTGACTGTCAGTCCTAGAATTAGAAAATATTGCCCTGCCTAAATACTTACCGTCGTAAATATTGATGCTGTCCCCGCTGCATGCTACGTTATAATTCGTTAGATACAGTACGACTTTGTAATTTGAAGCTCCACTATCAATGATCCATAAACAGTCTAGATTACTAGAATTAGAAAATACAAATTAATTAGAAATAAAGGAGACGCACTTCAAGATTTCTAGGCTGAAAAAAAGAACTTCAAGGTGGGCCCGAAATTTCATTTCTTTTTAAAATTGTTTGTTTCATTTTTGTTGCTTGATTTTTTGTGGTTTTGTCAAACTGTTAGGATATTACGTCGTTTTGTTTGTTTATTCTTTACATTTATTTCATATACATAATACATGTACATAGGCATGTACTAATCCATATAGAGATCAGTCTGTTTTATTTTGCGTCAAAAAATGTCTCTAACAAAGAGTACTTTTCGCTTTTATTAAAAAGTAAGTTATCCTAAAACACTGTACACCTACCTGCTGTACGTTCCAGCACCACTGTTATAACCTGTCGATGTAAAGTACTGGATACTTTGGCTAGCACTCAGTGATAGTGAGGAACCGCTACATTGAGAGAACACTGTAAAAGACGTATACGTGCCACATGATCAAATTCGTTTAAGGAGAATAGTAATGATTAAAGTGTTCATTTAAATTTGTAAAGTAATATGCATACTAACTAATGTACACTTAATTAAACATGATGAGTGTTTTACTGATTTGCAAGCAGGATGTTAAAAATCAGGTTATGCGTGTCTTTAGCTTTTGTAAAAATATTACTTCCTTTCAAAACCTGTTTTCATTTATATTGTAGTTTGGTGTATAAATATTATCTGTACTGACGGTTTTCTGTATGTCATGTGAGGTTTTAATTTCATACATATTATTTCTATTAGTTATTTTGAAATAAAAAAAATATCTACATGGCTATAATTCTTAGAATTTTGTTTTATTATGCATTGTATTTCTAGATATACATTCTTTCTTGATTGCGTGTCTAGAAAAGTGACTCTATGTGCTAGTATCTGCTGAGATGATTGCGTGCATTATATTTATCCTCTATCGAGTCCGACTCTAAAACTGTCTGTATACTAGTATTCCTGTTCCTGTGCCGAAAAAGTAAAAGCCGATATGCACGTGTGCCGTGATGCACGTTGATGCAAAAACTCGGTTCTCCATGGACTAAAAGCGTATATTTCATATTACTAACATTTATCTATCCTTACCATGACCAATGAGATTCAGGAGAATTATGCCAACGATTGTTTCACATTTGCTGTTTTGGAGGCGAAAGGACATCTGTGATCTTAAAATATAACAAAGACAATTATGATTGTGTTGTGCAATGTAGAACATTGAATTACAAGTGTAAAAATATAAGAACAATTGTTACATTACTACATTCTTCATTTTAACCCTAACAAACATTCATTCATGCATCAAGTTACAAGATTCTTTGATGTGTTCGTCAGTACTTGAACTTTTCAAACTTTCAATCTATTTCTTTCTATGAGCAGCAAAGTTGTAAATCAATAGCAGAAGATACATAAGTTTTCACAAGAAAAGTTAAAACGTCATATACGTTTACATGTATACGTGTGTGCTCTCTGATTTGATGTCTCATCTTACACAATCTCTTTTTTCGTTATCATTTCTTTACAAAAATGAAACCATAGTACATCTTAGAAACATAAATTTAAATGACGAAAGCTAGAAAGCTGTCAGTATCTTAATTGTTCATCTATGATTTACATATATACAATTAAATGTATGATACATGTCCTTCTATCTTCATATCTTGATAAATAATCTTTGAAACCATCTACAAAACTAAAGAAGACATGCTCTAGAGTTTGAGGTTCAATCAAATTTCCACGAATATTTCACCATAAAGATTCAATCACTATCAGCTCTATCACAAACAGGCTCTAACATTAACGAAATTCATGAGGTTTTTACCAATATCACAAGATATTGGAACTCAAGGCTTTCTTACTAATAAAAATAATCAAGAAACTGGACAAGAAATTAATTCAAAAGAAGAAATGCCAAATTGAGAGAAAGTTCTTTAGATGAGAGAACTTCGAAGAACTTATGTCTGATTCTTTTGACTTTTTGTCAATAAATATGTTCAATTCAATTCAATTCAATTTAAGTCTTCGAATATAAACATTACCCTTGTCAGCACCCACCCTTGTAGTTCTAACCAACCAATGAATGTCCTATCCAAAGTAAAGCTGAGTAAGGGCATGTGCTTTGTATACGTGAGATAATCAACATTTGATTATCATTTAAAATTGAAAATACTTATTTCTATAGCCATCAAGGACCAAGACTAAAATTTTAATGGTGCTATATACTTATAACAGAAGTATAATCCTGCTTTCAGGAATATGGATAAAATCAACCACAATTCAATCTCTTGTCGTTATTGGCATGACCGTTTAACGACTTCGTTAGTGTTCTTTGCTTTCCAATACCCATGCTTTTCTGTGTTGACGTACTGAACATTTCTTAGGAGTAACAAATTATCGAGAGCTTTTTTATGCTAGATGCAAAATTTACAGTCGTAAGTACATATACAAAAATTTATGTATACTTTGTAAGAGTGTAACATGCAAAGTAGAGAGAATCAATCAAATATGACAAGGTTACGGGGTTTAAACCCCAGTGAACCAACCACAGAACAAAAACTCTGTTATGAGTCATTCTTGACTTTCTTAGCGGACAAGTTCAAACTGTGAGTGTGATGCTGACTATAGCAACTTCACATTTTACAGAAGTTTCACGTACGCGCAGTTATTCTTACCTACATTATAATTCTGGTAATTAACCTGGGCGACTTCGTTGTGACAGGGCCGTGGTGTGTGTAGAATTATTATTAGTCACACCGTGACATGCTCCATAATAAATCTATTAGATTTGTTGGGGGCAAGGACCCAAGTAATGCACAAAGGCAAGTGACAGCTTACGAGCTCCCTGTGATCTGATCCTGATTTCTTTTCTTTGATTTAGAACTGTTACAAAAGCATGCACTTGAACTCGTAGCATTTCAGAAATGATCATGCCTTGCAAGAAAGTAAACTCAGTGATGTAAATAAAGATTTAAAAACAACAGTAATTCATTACTTGTCTTGTTATCAAAAAAACGTTAAGTCTGACAACAAATCGTAACTTTTTATTTAATCAATCTAATAAAAACAGAAATGCAAAAACATATTCAAAAATGTTTGCACTTTTACCAGTATCCAAAGCAAACAGTGATGCTGAAGAATTGCTACTTATGTCTCATGACTTGTTTATATATATATATATATATATATATATATATATATATATATATATATATATATATATATATATATATATATATATATATATATATATATATATATATATATATATATATAGATAGATAGATAGATAGATAGATAGATAGATAGATAGATAGATAGATAGATTATTTAAAATTCTTCACATAAACGTGCAACTTCAGCAGAATGCTTCCGCTTGCGTTAATATTGTGCAACATACATTTTTTTTTCTTTTCTTTCTTTTTTTTAATATCTAATAAACAATCATCAACAAAAATTCGAACAGATATAGGAGCATCAATAATGAAAAAATAATATTGGGTAAACTTGGAATACTGTAAAAAAAATTATTGAATATTTTGTTTCAAATTACGCATTAAATTTTGAAGAAAATGATTTTGTAAATTACTAGTACTGAATCCACGTGATAGTGTTAAATATTCATCTTATTCCATCATTAAATATGTTATAAATATTGTATCTATCATTTATGCATTTTGTGTTGTATTGCTTTTTCTTATATCATCTTGTAAAGAGTCCCAAAGTCTCAATGGTGCTAGTGGAAAACACTATTAGTAAAACAAGAATGCGAACATTTGCTGGAGTTTCTCAAAAGATTACAATTTAAAGATAAATAAGATTCAATGATTTCATTAAGTAATTAGGGGTGGATCCATTAATAATAATAATTTTTTTTAAAAAATTTGGAATTACAAAAAAAGTTAAAAAAAAAAAAAATAATAATAATAATGAAAAAAAAATAAATAAACAAACAATATATATAATACTGAAAAAAAAAAACACTGATTTTAATTTTCAAATATTTGTAAACACGAGTATCTGAAAAGATTCAATTTAAGCAGATTTTCAACCATTCTGGCTAATAAACGACATTGGGTTTATCCTGAAATATCAAGTTTGTAGTCATATTCCTTACAAAGTGCACGGATGTTAAATTCTAATACAAGTAAAGATTTTTAATGGAAAATCAGATGATCTAATTTAATAACAAAAATATCATTACAATGGGAAAATTTGACAAAAAAGGTTAATATGAAAAAACAATCCACGACGATTCTAAGCATTGCCTATTTCAGACAAATCCAATACTTTCAAATTCTTCCAGTTTATATTATACCGAAAGGGAGACAAACCAGAATTAAGCAGACTTAATGATGAAAATACAGATGAATTGTTTAACTAGTTCTGTTCATTTGTATTATAACTGTATAAGGATGATTGAAAAATCATCTCGTCGCCAATTAATTAACACTAACTCAAGATTTTTAATTTTATACGAGTACAATAAAAAATATACATAAATAAGATTTTTTTTTTTAAATTCTTTTCCATGGCAATTAATGAAAAGATTTCTGCATACATACCGCGAGACTGGATTCATCCAAACAAATATAAATAAAATGCAGCAGTCAACATAAACCAGTGGAAAGGTAGGGATAACATATCACCCAGCATACAAAATACAAAAAGTGGAGGTTGTACATTAGAGTGTAAACTACTCAGTTCTATAAATGTTCAATAATAGAAATTCCATAAGATGAAACACATCTGGCTACCGTCCGTAAATTTGTCGAAGGACAAAGAGAAAAACAACAAGTATTTAGTTTAATTGTAGACTGATGTCAAGTGATAGGGCCTTAAAACCAAAAACCAACAAATTTACTTCAGGCTTAACGACTCTAAAGTACCAATATATGGCTACAATTGTGATTTTAAATATTATGAAGTATCTATTTTAGTGTATTAATTGAGAAACTTCAATGAAAAGTTCACGTCACAGACGAAATATTGGTCTTTGGATTTTAACGCTCTCAAGGCATTAAGAAAACAAAGTTCTGTATCAAAACTGATTTTTAAATATCGCAGCACGATTACTTTTATAACACTTTGGTTCAGGTGAGGGATGCCTCTTGAGGACAAAGATCAACATACCTGGAATTAATGCTTACCTTTGTTTGTCCCCTCGTCATGTGAACCGACGGTCTGGACAATGCATTGTTTATGTAATGAAGTGTTTCTGCGATTTATTTTCTTGTATTTTCAGATCCGTGTTTTCACTTTAATAATGACCAGTTTTAGGCGGTACAAGATGTATCTTTTTTTCTATATCAAATATGAAATAGATACCTATATCACCTATCAGGCAGATTACAACTACTTGTGCTGTTTAAATAATATAATATCAATGCGTGTCATCTCTATTTAGAATTTAAACTCAGCCCATTAATATTATTACAATTATTTAAAATACTTCCATAAAGATGACAAATTGCAAAATGTGCCAAAAGTGATGTTATAATTGCGAAAGTCTGTTTGAGGGGGATAATCTGCATTATGACATGGTCATCATTTAAAGATTTTCAATCAAGGAATTCAATTTTTAATCATTTCTAAGGAAGGTGGGATAAGATTATTATGATAGATGCAAAAGGATCTTAACGGACCTATTCAATTGCCAAACTACTAATTCAAGTTTAGATGTTTACCTTTATGCATGTAGACCACTTATTAGTCGTATCTTCCTGATTTCAGGACCAACAGAAGTAGAAATATTACAGTAATTTTTATTTTATTTTAGTGCAGCCTTGTATAAGGTTGTCCTTTTTTTCTCAATATACAATGTATCTTCAGCATGGGGAAAAGAGGAAATATATGCATTAAAAAGATTTTGTGATAATTACTTATAACAAACATAAGGCTCTTAGATCTCGAATTAAAAGCATTGACAAACATTGCAAAGCCTTGCTACACCGTACTTCTAGAAGAATTCTAAATAATTATAAACTGATGAACTTTACAGATAAAAAAAATAAGAATGAATGAATAAGATGCATTCCTTGCCTCATTTCAAATTAATGCTCTTAAAACTGATTGGATGGGCTTTACAATAAACTTAATTCACAAAAGACAAAGTCTGAATTTTCAATCGCGCGTACGATCAGCGGACTTTCTGAACATCTTACCCATGTAGTTTATATCAAGATCAACTTTAAATTTACATTTCACCATTCAAAATTAGATACAATGGAGATATGGTCACATTTACAATCAAATAATTTATTAATATTCTCTTTGCCGTGTGCCAGAGAGCCGAAAACCATCTATCCTGTATTTAATAATTCAGAGGTGAAAAAGAATTAGATAGATTACACGATCAGTTTGTACTGGTCCCAGCTGACAAAGCAGGTAACAACATTGTCTTTGTAAGGTTCATTATTTTAATTGTATTTTAGAGGAACTGGGATTCAATTCTGCAAGTGGTAATCCAACTTATAACCATAGCTCCCTTATCTAAGGAAGAGGTTCTTCAAAATCATATGTCAGTTTAAAATATTTTTAATATTCCCAACAATCAAAATGAGTTTTGAATTACAATACCTATACTTGATTCCTAAACTTCATAAAAATCATTATAAACAAAGATAACATACATGTAGCGGGTTCCAGTAAATGTTCTACAAAGCCTCTTTCTTTACTCTCACTAAAATATTAATGGCAGTGAAGGAGAAACTTCAGGAGTACAGCACAACAATATATTCGAGAAGTGGTGTAAATCAGATGTAGATACTTAAAAATTCCAAGGAATTTTTAGAAAATTAGAAATCACGAAATTTTACCAAAATCAATAACATCAAAACGTACGATTTTACAACCATTCCTTATGATAAATTAAATTCCAGGCTTTTTTTTTTTTTACATCATTGACAGTTGCTTTTTCAATACAAATGGAACTCGTAAATTTACAAAAAAAAAAAAAAAAAAAAAAAAAAAAAAAAAAAAAAAATTCCAAATGTACACACAAGTAGTCTAAAATTGACATTAAAAAGATGCTTGAGTTTCTGATTGACAATATCTATGTAGTTTTTGGAGACCAGGTCTTCCAACAATCTGTCGGAATTCCCATGTGTACCAATTGCGGCCCGTTATTAGCAGACCTATTTTGTATTCATATGAAGCAGAATTTATTCCAAATCTTATACATGAGAAGAAGAAAACACTTGTATCGACGATGTATTATCAGTTAACAACAGTACTTCCATTCATACCTCGACTCGATATAACCCATTGAGCTTGAAATAAAAGATACCACAGAGTCATGACGCACCTGTTTCATATTTGGATATTTTACTAGAAAAAGACGTTATATTAATGGCAACCTAACAACCTAGCTTTATGATAAACGTGATGACTTCAACCTTTCAATCGTCAACTAAATTCCCTTACTATACCCTTATCACCCGCATATGAAGTTTATGTCTCTCATTTGATTCGATGCGCAAGAGCATGCTCTACGTACGAACAATTTCTAAAACGAGGCAAGTTTCTGACAAACAAGTTGATGAAACAAGAATATCAACAGTCTTGTTTAAAGTCATCAAGTTCTATGATCGATACAATGACCTTGTCAGCAAATACAATCTATCATTAAGTCAAATGCTGACTGACGTTTTTCATACTAATTGTTAAGCCTTTCTTACACACTGAATTGTCTACGGAATCTTCCTTTTTTTCCGATCATGACAAGGAGCACACGGCGGGTGTGACCGGTCGGCAGGGAATGATCACTCCTCCATGGCACCTGATCCCACCTCTGATGTTTTAGAGGTACGTTTTTGCTTTGCTCCTGATTAGTATTGTTTGAATATACTTTTGAGCTCGAATACTGTTTTTTATCTCCATATTTACTTAAACTTATATATAACAGTGTATCTCTCAACGTTTGTCAAAAAATGGTTTGACCAAAGTTTCCAAAAACAGAGTGTCAATTACACACAGCATGAAAGATTTACAACTTCATAAATAATGGTTTTGAATGGTTTTAAGTGAAATATATACAAACAAAATACAAATAACTGAGAAATACAAAATAGTATCAAAAACGGAATCTAGGTTATTCCTAAAATAAGCAAAATACAAAATATAGTAGGAGACGCTATAATTAACCATAGATTGATGAACTTGTGTCTTATCCTTTTGACTTTATTTTCAATAAAATGTTCAATTCATATATATAAAAACTCGTATCTTATCCTTTTGACTTTATTTCAATAAAATATGTTTAATTCATACATGTTTGAATGTTGACTGAGGTAAAATAGTTGTAAAGTTCAGGAACATGCGCTAAATCTTACATTGCTCTTGTGATCGTCTCTATCTCTTTCGACTCTTTCAAAAGTAATCAGTATAGAGACATCTATCTTCCTAATTTTAAGATTGTTCATATTAATACTTGCTTATTTAAAGGACCTACCATATGCTTTGTTTCAAATAAATTAAAAATAAATAGTTATCTTAATACTAAAGAAAGTTGCTTATTTTAATCATGCACAAACTAATGCCAAAATATGAAAATAATATATTATATGAAAAGGAAAAGTCTTACCTTTTTCAGGTGCCGGAAGAATGAGAGTCTGCGGAAATTTTTGTTTCTACCATTTAGAAAATCCTGATTTCACACCTCTTTAAAACATTTAATTAAAAACCATCCTAGGAACAGAATGTGTATTGGTGTACATGTCTACCAACAGCGGGCTCTGTGATCACGGAATTATGGCAGTAGTGACCTGCAGATTATGGATAACGGATTAAGATCTAGCTAAAAAGTAGATTAAAGACCATGTATCTAGATACGTAAACAATCAAATATGCTTGAACGTGTTTAATTTTCGAACAAGAAAAGTAAGAAAAAGAATCACTCGCATAATTGAGTCTTCCTAGTCGACAATTTTGTTTAAGTTATTTTTCTAACAAAATAATAAATTTAAAACCTAAATACATTCTTCTACAGCGATGCATTCTTTTTAAGCTCAATTAATGGTGGGCAAAGTGTTTTTTGTTAAAGGTTGAAAAATTCCTGTAATGCGCTTGTAAAGATCTCTAAACAATGTAAGAATCTGTCTGACATGGTCATCAACAATCCAAAAATCGACCATCTTCGCCACATAACAAAAGACCCTCCCAAAAACCGCAACAGAAGGGAAAAGAGGATTGTGAAATTAGGAAACAATTCTTCTTTATGCAATGATTTTCCTAATGACTTATTTTTTGTGGAGCTCACGGCAGCTTTTCTAGGTAGAGAACTGTTGTCAATGGGGCAATGATCAGCCACTGTGAAGGTAATGATGGCCTATAAATGAAATCAATTGTTCAGTTGGCGAGGTCGTCACGAAATTGCCTGATTTCTGAAATTTAGCGATTTTTATGTCTGTCATTTAATGTTTGCATTGCCTGGCATAGTTTTCGTTCATCATGGGTGTTCGGTATCCATTACTTTTGAATGTTTAAAAAATATACATATTGTAGTTTTAATTTGATTTGAAAATTACATAATCAGTGTCTAATGATGGCTTTTGAAGAATGAAAGAATAGAGCTGCGATACCCATCTAGGAAAGGGTCATACCAAGTGAAAGAATTCTAAAGTAAGATTGCAGTCAAAGAAATTTTTTTGATATTTGGTACATGTATGTCAACTAAACATGGTTAGATTTAACTCCGTAACACTGTAACAAATTTAGAAACCATGCATTAAGAAAAGTTTGAATAATATAACAAAAAGAAAAGTATGCAACAGGTTATGCCCATTTAATGCACACACACAGAGAAAGAACTTAATATTTGGTGCATCGTTTAGTTTTAGTTTCATTTAACAGATCATTTGAGTTGAACACTTTCTACTGTTCTCTACATTGCATAAATAGGTTACTTTTAATGATTTAATAAAATGCAGAGGTTAAAATTTTGATTTCTTTTCTTTTAATACGTCTGTAATACATGCACTGTCTCGGGAATGGATGGGTGTTAACTTTTTACGTGAAATTTTCAGTATTTGGGGATATTCAAAAAAAAAATTATCGTGATTTCTTATATATTTAATTAATTTATCTCACGACTTACTGTTAATTGCTACCGTTTAATTAATAAACAGAGGTATTGTTGATAAAATTAGAACTGCTTTGTCACTTTTATAAATAGATTTAAACTCTTGTCAAATATGATAGATTATAGGAGATAATGAAATTTAGGAATAAATAATTAATAATTCTGATTTACATTATGCTGAAAAATATTAATTCTGAAAAGGCGTTCTCGTTTAAAAAAGAATCCTACTGTATGTATTTCACATTCAGCTGAATAAAAGTAATGCAAAAAGTAACAAACTCGTGTGAAAAATGCACTGCATTGGTGTTCTGCATGGTTTTAATGTTACGCGATGTGTTTTGCTTTAGTAAATTTTCATTTAGATGCGGGTTGCCCCCCCCCCTCCCTTCTTTTCTTTTTGTAGCTGTAAGGTCTAGCACTGGCAAATTCAAGGATTTGAAAAAAAATGTACCAAACAGAAAGAGAAAGCCCCCCCCCCCCTCCAATAGGATTTTCGAGTTTGGACAGTTACACAGTTAAGTTTTTTTTTCTAGTCAGATTTTTTGGGAGATTGCCCTTTCCCCACATTTAAAACCGTTGCTACAGGCCTGCCAATATCTGCCCCCAATATCAAACCTTGCTGGAACAATCTATAATTATGTTCTAAACCAGTGGAATATCCGCAGACTTGAAAGTATTACAAATTTTCACCAACCAAGACACCATATATTAGATAAAACGTCAAGACGATAATGAAAATTCTAAATTTCAATAATTTTGAGAGGAAAAAGTGTTTTTTAGGTCGATATTCAAAGTCAGCATTTTGTAAGTTCTATGATCGTTAAAATGACCTTGATAGCAAATGATATATAACCTATATCATTGGGTCGTATTTTGGCTGACGTGTTACTTACTAATTGTTAGTTATTTGTTTTTATACTGAAATTGACTACGTCTATACCTGATCAAAACAGGGGCCACGTGACCGGTCAACAGGGGATGCTTACTCCTCCTCGGCACCTGATCCCACCTGTGGAATTTCCAGGGGTCCGTGTTTTATGCCCTCTTCACAGATGTGTATTGTTTTTAGATTTTTCCCAGATCAATCACAGTTCATTATCATCACCTTTTTTTTTATTAAAAGCCATGGAGTTCAGGTCTGCACAAGCTTGATCATTTGATATTATGTGTAGAATTATAATATCAATGCAATATGTGTAAATAACTAAATATTGTTCTGGGGCAAGCTTGCGCTCAGTAAATTCTTTACTCAAAATTGAATGAATTTTGTCCATTTTATCCTCTCTCTTGAATTAAACGGAAAATATTAAATCCTAATAGTTTGTGACATCACAGAAACAAGAAACAAGAACTGACGATAATCTACTTCCAAACTATTATATTTTTTGTCAATTTAGATTTTTCATTCATTATAAAAAAAAATGTGTAAATTTCTTGAGATTTTCAAATTTTGGCTTTTGGGAGGGCAAAAATATGCTTTAACCGTATATATAGTACATTCTTTCTAATTTTAATCAGTAGTCCAAGAAAGATGATCTTACAGATATTAAATTTCTCCATATGTTTAAGTGTTACAAAAATGGATTATAGAGTTAACTTGCAAAAATCATCATTGAAAAGTGAATTACTATGGATTTTCATCTGTGAACATTAAGCTTAATCTGGTCGGTTACAGGGCCGACAGCCAATTCAAACCTCGCGTGACTCATCTAAGTATAGTCTCAAGTGGGGTCACGTAACAGTCCCACGACCAAACATACGTACCACAGACAGACATGCAGACAAGTAGCCAGCCGTTTGTTAGAGTTTTGTTTTAAATAAATCTAAATTACAAACGTTTCAATTCATTCATCTTTTTTAAGTATAGGAAGACTTATTGGGACATGAGTAGTCTGACATTTAAATATATTCCTGTAATGAAATGGGTGGGAATATCAACTTTTAAATACCACAAATTAAACAGGAAATGTAAAGGAAAAAATAAATTAAATCTGTTGCATATTCATGAAATCATTCCTGTTTTAACAACCCAACCCCCTTAGGTACACGTTTAAGACATAAAATTCCTTCTTTTTCAAGGAAAGGGAATAGATCATTATTTATTTCGATAAATTCATTGTATAAACAGACTTATTGTAATCTGAAAAATACATTTACTGAAAACGAGAGAGAGGAAGATTACCTTGCTCTTTGTTAACATCCTTGAAATCAGTAGAATTTATCATCACATTCCATTTTACTACAGCTTAGTTAGTAAAAACATTTTAATAATGGCGCATTCCTTTATATGGTGTGGTTTTCCTTTTTTTACTCTACTTCTTTAAAATTTATGGACCTAAACTTAAAAAAAATTGTGGAGAAAAAAATCTGATTAAGACAATGGACGTAAAACAAAAGTGAATAATTGGTAGTGACTTTAATGGATAGGGAAAAACAATGCTTCGATAAGTGGTGAAGATAAAATAATGGAAATAGGGTAAGAGTTTTTTGAAAGAATAAAACTTTCTTATCCAGAGATTGGATGAATTCTAAGGACAGATTAAATATCTGTTCTACGGTGTGGCTTTGTCTCATGTTACATTAATTTTGTCACGCATTCAGTAGGCTTATCATATTACAGATTACTTCTAACTGTTATACAGCTATGTTATTTCCTCTCATTCATGTGTTCAATTAAATGTCATTCTGATAAAAAGTATGGAATCGTTGCGAAATAATATTGTTCGTTTTATTATTATTATCATTATTATTGTTATTTAGTGATAAATAATCGAATTATTGATATCTTCAAATATTTAAAAAAAAAACCGTATGTCTTGAGCGCACGAAGTTGAATTGATCTAGGAAATATTAAAAATAAAACTATACAAAAGCTGCATTCTACCTATCCTTTTTTATGTGTAGAGTGTTTGAGAATGACAGAGAGCGACCTGAACAAGCTGTCGACATTCCGTACAAAGTCCCTGAGAAGGATCTAAGAATATTTTGTCCCAATACCATCTCAAATCAGGACCTTCTCAACAGGTGCCAGCAAGAGGACATGGCCACAATCATCATCAGAAGACGCTGTCCAGAACTGGCTTGGTCATGTACTTAAAAGGGACTCGGACAGCATTATAAAGACAGCTCTCTTCTGGACACCGGAGGGAAAACGGAAGAGAGGGAGGCCCAGAGTCACTTGGCGTGGACAGTGGAAGCTGAACTTAAAGAACAAAAGAGAAGCTGGGGCACACTCCAAAAGCTAGCCAGTGAAAGACAAGGATGGAGAACCCTCGTTACTGCCCCATACGCCAAAGGCGTCACGGGCAGTAAGTAAATAAGTAAATATTAAATTGATGCGCGGATCAAATCATTCATTGTTCTGTATCAATTCAGTTATCTCTGTATCAATTCAATTTATGCCTTGCGTCAATTCAATATTGATGCGCTCATGAAATCACTGGAATTCATCGGTGGAATTATTGTTCTTCAAAATCAGTTTACACCAGCTTGATATTAATGATTTGTTGGGCTTTTTAATTCATCTGAAGATATATTGAAATATTTTACAATGAATTTACAAAAAGAATTAATGCATGCATCCAGTCTATTAAAGTGAGGAACAATTCAATTAAAGGAATCACCATTTAAATTAAGGATTTTATAAATTGAAGATATCCTGATAATCAGACAGGTTCGCTCTCTTACAGGATTTGTGTGTTTTAACTGAATAAATGTTATCATTGATTCAATTTAAAATTATTATTGATGCGCGCAATAATTCCATGAAATATGACGGGTTCGTTCGATCGCCGGTGGCCAGATAGTTGGTAGAGCACGTGACTGGAGATTCAGGTGGCCCGGGTTCGAATCCCGGACTGTCCGTCGCATTTTTATCCTCTCCCGTTACACTTGGTGCCGTGACCAGGATGTGACAGATGAAAGATCTGCCAGGGAAGAGCCTGTGACCAGGGTTGGTGTCTTCGGGGGCCCGGCGAAGACCTTAAAGGAGGGAGGAATGTAGCGGTCAGACGCAGGTGGCCAGACAGCTCAGTTAGTAGAGTACCTGACTGAAGATTCAGGGGGCTCGGTTCGAATCCCGGACTGGTCCGTAGCATTTTTCTCCTCTCTCCTCTCCCATTACAATAGTAATAACGCTAATTCAATCATTGCTCTCTTCATTGAATTGATTATGCATGTATCTCAAAATGACTATATGGATACCTCCAATTTTTGAGTTTGTTTTAATTTGGCGCTCCATACTTGCATGCTCAGTTTCCTTAGGAGTTGAACCAAGGCGGTTAGAGTGAAAGGGGACTATATAAGAACTAAACCTTGAACATAATATGTATATATCTACCACCTTTGTCCCATTAACTGGAAACAACCTTAGGCCTTCCATTCGCTCCCCGGTTTTCCATACGTCGCATGGACGACGGGAAAACCGGGGTGTGGAATATCTAATTTATAATTTTCATTAGATTGGAAGGAAGTAGGCTAAATGTAGTTTAGTTTTTTTCATTGAAAAGAACGTCCACTTTGCAGACCACGGGAGAGTGTGGTTCCCTCTTTAACCTGAAATAAGACTGATGATCCATATACATGTAGTTTAGGCCAAATAAAAAAAATATGTGTGGTTCCGGTTACACCTCCAAATAAATTAGGGTAGGTAGGTAGGTGTTTTTTTGTTTTGTTTTTTTTTTAATTTATTTATTTAAATATAATAAAAGTCAAAAATATCATTGAATGTTCTTGAATTAAGTATTGGTGATATTGGTGAGATAATACTTTTGCTTTCTTTCAAGTGGTGACATTTGTAACTGACAAAACACTTGTACGGCGTGTTGAAACGATGTTGTCAAAGAAGGCCACCATTGCTGAAACTAAAACTAATACCGGAGCCAATGAGGGAAATCAGGGAAAATTCCGGAAATTTGAATATTGTCAAAAAAAAGTTTAGGGTCGGGAGTATAAAATAGGGACGGTCGGGTAACCGGAACCACACATATTTTTTTTTATTTGGCCTTATGGATCATTCATTTTTGTTTTATCTAACTCGTTTTAGTTTGGGTCCAGGGTCAATCTAATTGAAATTAAATCTCCATTCGCTCTCCGATTTTTTTTATATGTCGCGATGAATATAAAAAATCGGGGAGCGAATGGAAGATCTAATTTTAATTAGATTGGGTCCAGGGTGGGCTTAAACTCACGTTATTTTTGATCGGGCACGACATTCAAACAAAACAGGTAGTAGTAAGACAGAAATGAAATAAATAGAATAGATTTCTTAAATATTATTATTTCACTCAGAGCTTAAAATGAAAACATAATTGGATTGTAATTTTAGCTCAGCACTTCCAATTCATGTATACAATAACATATCTTATTATTTTTAGAGAAGTGGACAGACTTTAGCATGTTTATCCTGCATCCACGCACTGTCACTGTGGATGTAAGGCTATATGCCACTTCACTAGAGAGAATATAACATCTTTAAAATGAATTTTCAGATTTATTATGGTTAAATTGGATATCATTGGGGTCCCTTGGGATAAAAAGGAGTTTCCCACATTTTCGATGATTTATCTTATTTCATCTTTCATAATTTAAGTTGATCTAAGTGTATTATAACGCACTGTAAAGCACAAAAAGAAACAGTGGGCTACCTATTTGTTTAAAATAATGGACCTAAGCTTTATCAAAGAGATAATCTGGAAAAATAAATCATAACATTCAGAGTGGACATTTATTTTCTCAGCTTTTGCAATGGATCCAAAAGATGTAAAAATAGCATTGAAAAATGCTAGAGAATGTATAAAGAATAAAGAATACAAGGAGGCCTTGAAGCATTGTAAAGTAAGTCTTATAACTTCAAGTTGTAAAAGTAGTTGACTTCACTGATTTGTACACTTGCATGTATGTATGTACTTTAGTATATGTTTTAGTAATCTGAAAACACACTGTATTTTTCATTTTGTTTGTAACATGGTTGTATGCCAACATGTTTGGTGAATCAATAAATTGAATTGAATTGAATTGAATTGAATATTTGAAACTCTGAAAATTCACCCCAAATGTAATGCAATTTTCAGTTATTGGTGAAGTGTTTATATTTATAGACTTATTATGAAAAAAAATTACAAACAGGAGCAAACACATAACTGATATATTTTTCAGGGAATTCTAGCTCAAGATAAGAGCAACTACAATGCACTGGTATTTGTGGGTGTAGCAGCTGATGGTTTAGACCAGCCAGATCAGGCAGTAAAGGCATACCGGCGGGCCACCGAGTCTGAGCCAGACCAACCGCTGGCATGGCAGGTCAGTGTTACTACTACAATACAGGAAGTGAATTTATCTCATTTAGTAATATTATACCTCTATTAAGAATACTCAAATTTGATTGGTTTGTTAGAAGCTTTTAAACTGAATAATGACTCCAAAAAGTACTGTTTACAGCAATAATGACCTAGGAATCATTGCACGTGGGGTATGATGACCCGGTCATTATAAATAATGACCGCTAAAAATGACCTGTTAATCTAAATTCCATTCAAATTTAAAAATTAATGCATACAGTAATGACTGTTCATTACAAAAAATGCCTTTATAAAAATACGTATAGTCTTTTTATGATACGGAATACGATTGTCCTTTAGATGCGTCATAAAATTTATTGTTTTCATTGAAACTTTCGTTACAATGTCAAATTCAATGAATGCAGACTTGGCTCTTGTGTACAGTAAAAGTCTGTACCAGATTGTCATTGTACTCAGAAATGGTATTTGTAAATTTATAAAAATGCATGTTACTGACAGTCACAGAGTGTTTTAATAAAACGGCGGTGCAAAAACTTACAAGACTTGCAGGCGAAAAGTAAACATCTTCACAAGCGAATCCCAATCCCGATGAAACACTGATAATAACAGTTCGTAGGTCTAATACACAATTGATTATTTTAGTAATTAAGCCTACAAAAATTGTCTTAACTTATATCGGTATAATAAAACAATTGATCACCCCTTATGAGTTCAACATGGTGAAATAAGGACCCTCGACCTGGCCCACTCGCTGACCTGACATGACCTCGGCCGCTGCGCGGCCTCGGTCAGGTCAGGTCACCTCGTTGGCAAGGTCGAGGGTCCTTATTTCACTATGTTGACCTCATAAGGGGTAATTAATTGTATAATAAGGGGACTGAGGCTTGCCTCTACTACTTTAAATGTTTACCTTCATGTTAATGAAATTGGACTTCAGAGGTTTAGAATGAGTTGTGTGTTACATACTACATGCATATCTACAAGATTAAATGATTTCATACTGGCCATAACCATCATAGTCATATTCAAATGCTGAGCCACTATAAAGCCATTAGCTCTCTACTGGTCAGAGACCAGAAGAGCTTATGCAATAGTGAGGTGTTCTCATTCTTTGTCTGTCTGTAAACAATTTTTCAAAAATGCTACTCCTCCTACAGATTTGGTCAGTTTCAATAAAACTTGGTACACAAGTAGACTACACTAAGATATAATATAATTCTGTATACCGGTATTGGTTTTGATTTCAGTGAGTGGTGTTGTCATAAGTGTTGTACCGATAATAAGAAAACATCAATTGTCAGCGAAAAAATGCAACCGATTCCGATGATTGATTATAATTTTTCATAATCGATCATCGGAAGCATACTTCTTATACAATACATTCCGGAATTATCAATTTCTGGTTTAAAATTTATTTCTTCTTAATGAAAAAAATGGCGTCTGCATCTGATACTAGCCAACAAGCACAAAGCAGAGGTGATTAAGAACCGAAATGTGCATATATAGAAAGTGTAAAAGAAGCAAAACAACAAAGAAAATAATATATTATATATTTTACATATTCGTGTTAAAGAAATAATTTGAAATAATTGTAATAGTCTGCTTTTTATATACAAAACTATGACATCCGATTATAATCGGTAAAATCGCATTGGAAGCAGTAACCGATTCCAACCGATGATCGATTATGAAAATTAACCGATGTTCCATCACTAGTTGTCATGGTTACTAAAATTAGATAGAATTTCTGTAAAATTCTTTCAAAATGCTACTCCTCATTCACTTTTGGGGTGATTTCATTAAATGTGGTACACAAGTAGACTACATTAAGATATATCATTCTGTATATCGATTTTTGGACATTGCCATAGTTAGACCATTCCAATTTTTTCCTATGTCTATGTGCACCTTGGTATTTACACCCCAGATCAGGAAATCAGTAGTCCTGAAACTGATTATTTTGGTGGAAGTCCTTAAATTCTGTCAATTTCTTTCTATATTTACATAGAATCTGTCAAATAAAGAATTGTAGATTGCCATATTTTTGCGACATCTTATTTTCATGAGATAGGTACTTCACAAGCAGGACAAAATTTTCAGGCATTCTGGTGATTGCTATATATAATCGATGCCAATAAAAATGAAATTTTTGCGAGCAGATCTGCTCATGTAAGTACACAAAAATAAAGGTCTTGTGAATAAAAAGTGATTTACGGTATATATGAATCATTTATTACCTTGATTTTGCAAAGGAATAAATCTTTCTTCGAGGAAAATAGGTAAACAGAAACAAATCCTTTGAAAGAGGTGTTTATATGACTATATGTCTTGTGTTTAATTTTTCAGCTTGTGTGTTTTTTTTTGTGAATAGATTGGTATGTTTTTGAAAGATAAGTGGACACTAAACGAGAAAAAAACTGAGAATGCATGGCCTTATGAAAATAGACATTTTGTTAAATTCAATAGACTCCTCCTCCTGCAGTTTTGGTTTGATTTCTGTTTAACTTGGTACAGCTTGGTACATTAGTAGACTACTCCCATATACACAATTCTTTGTACTGTTTTTTTGATTTTTACAAACAGTGTTGCCATGGTACTAAAAATAGAATTTTCTGCAAATTTCTTTCAAAATGCTACTCCTACAGTATTGGTCCGATTTCAGTAAAACTTGATATGCAGTATACTACACAAAGATACGTAATTCTATTTATCGTTTTTTTTTTTTTTAATTTTGGCAAAGGGTGTTACTATGTTTACTAAGAATAAAAATATCTGTGAAATTCTTTTAAAAGGGTACTCCTCCTACAGTTTTAGTCTGATTGCAATAAAAATTGCTACAAAAAGAGACTTACCTAAGGATCAATTAATTTTTTTTTTATTGCTGTTGCCTTAGTTTTAAGTCCAAATGGTAATTTTCTCTTCCTGTGTAATAAGTTCAAACCAGTAGAGCTACAGTCGCATCAGAGACTTCTAATTTAGTATAAGAATCTTATAACTCTCATCAAGCCAGTTTCAGGAAATGTGTCAAATGTACCAGCTGAAATGTACCTAGAATATTGTTCTAAGATGTTTCATTTTTATCCAGGGACTGAGTGGTTTTTATGAAAAGCACAGTTCACCAGAGAATGATAAAGAACTAGTAGAAGTGTACACCAAACTCAGAGATTTCTTTGAAAAGTAAGTCAGAAAACATTGCTTAAAAGTATTTTATTTTTGATTCCTTGTTGTAGATTTCTTCCTCTTATTTCATATCAATGTTTCTAATAGTGACAAGGACAAGAAAACAGAAGTGACAAAGAAGCTTGCTAATTTACACATAAAGCTGGGGGATATTAACAGGGTATTGTCTTGGACTTAATTATCTTAAGCAATAAAATGAGCATGCTTTAGTAATTCCAATACACTTTTAAATTTACATGTAAAAATCTGAAAAAAAAATTTGAATTGTATTTTATTTTCATTCCCTGTTTTGTAACAAGGTACATGTACCTACAATTGTTGTTGTAGGGTTTAGAACTGTATGAAAAGTTGTGTTCTGAGGAGACAGAAGACTCTGTCAAGTGTAGCCTCTATACAGATATGTTATCATTGTTCCTAAAGTTGTCATCCCCCACACCACCACAAGAGGACATGGTATGATAATCAGATAGGGGCTATTCCCAAAGGAGTAGAATTTTTGATCAGAGCAAGAATATTCATCTTTAACACAGAGAAAAGGTCTTTGTTTTAGGAGAGAAATATTTTCTAAAGTCAATAAGTAGTACAGGAATTTTCTTTTGAAACAAAATAAGGTGTGGTGATAAATGAAAAGTACTAGAACCAGTTTTATTTGTAATATGAATAGAATATTGTTTTATAGCAGTTTGTTTTTAATTTGTAACATCTCAAAGCCTAACTTGTCTAAATTATAGGTAATTGACATCATGAATAGTCTGCTGGAGTTGGATGCACAGCTTGAAGAAAGAATCATTACCTTCTATGTAGATATTCTTTTTAAGGTAGGAGTGTGTACAATATTCTAATGAAGTACATGTACTGTATGTTTGCACATAAGGCCTTTCTAAGGTATTTTTCACCCATCATTCAAAAATCTACCTACATATTAAAGAACACAAACAGATACATGAAAAATGCTCATTATTTATTTTGCAATGACATTTTAGAACAGGAAACAAGCTTTTTGAATTGAATGTGTTCTAGACAACATATAGTTTCAACCAACATTCAAGTGAAAAACTGATTTGGAAAAAAATGAACAGACAGTTCAGTTCTTTTTCAGTGATTTTGTGAGTGATCTCTTTTTTTCTCCTTAAATTTTGAATGTCCAGAATCATATACGAGGGCCGTTCAAAAATTACGCAGACTTGTTGCACAGAAAATATATTTGACAACATAATCAAGCAAAAAGTCATAAATAATATAAAAGAATCTTTTCATATATGATCATCAAAATTTCATATCAAAATATTGTAAATCGGTGTCAATTTCAAGTGATTTAACAGGACGTCTAATGAAATCATGACGCAGTAAAACTTTCAACGTCACGGGCATTTTAAAAAATGGGAGCTTTCATTTTCTCAATATTTTCCCTTAGTATTTGATACTGTATAGTTTGGGTTACCTTATCCACTCAGAATAAACATCCATATACCATTTCCGATTCAGCTTAAAAACTATAAAACTATAATTGTGTGTTTTAGTTTGTGTTAAACACCAAAACTGCAGATATTTCTGAGGTAAAGTTTAACTCAGTCGATCTCTATCACATTCTTAACAGCCCAGATCAGTGTTTTGTCGATGAACATCATCCTTCCCTCCCGGATTGCCTTTTAGCTAAGGTCTAACAATCTAAAATTCTATTTTTACATTTTGTAGAGATATGTCGGATATTCCGCTGGTTTACTACATGTTTCATCAGGATTATTTTGGGTCTCTATTGGCGTTTTCCCTGCATGATTCATGATTTGATAAAAGTGCGCTGCTCCGTCAAATCACGAGACGTCATTTTTGCAGTTGATTTCGTAGGGGTTACATCGGAGAAAAATTACAATATTTCTGTTAGTACTTCAAATATTACGCCTGAAATCTAAATACTTAATATTAAAAAAAAATAAAAAGAAATTTTAGAGAAAATTGATAAATAATATCATGAAATATGGAAAATAAATGAATAAAATTTTGGATAACACGTTTGTTTTTCAACAGTTTTACCTTGCTCTGTACATCACCATCAGCAGTATCAAAACAGCAATAATTTTATGAGATATTAAGTAAAATAAAAATATTTTACCAAGAATTTATTGGAATTTTTAAGAAATATGTTCCTGTGAAATTTCAATTCTACATGACGTCTGTAAGAGTAAATAATAGAAGAGTCCACGTAATTTTTGAACGGCGCCCTCGTACTTAACATTAAAGTAAAAAAAAATGGGAATTGATCAGTATCAAAAATGAGTTGCCAATAGATCCTCTTAAAGGTGAAATATTGAAGGTAAATTTATTTTTTTTCCCAATCTTCCTTTTTTATGCCCCCATAATCAAAGATTCAGGGGAATATAGTTTTTGGTCTGTTTGTTTGTCTGCAAAAACTTTAACCTTGCCCTTATCTTTTGATTGGTTGGAGCTAGGGCTTTCATATTTAAGATGTGCATTTCTTGTGAAAAGACCTTTCTATTGGCACCAACATATTTGACCTCTGACCTTGGAGTTTGACCCACTTTTACAAAATTTTACCAAACTTCAACATTGGTTATAACTTTTGAACTGTCAGTGCTGGGGCTGTTATATTTCACATTTGTATTCCTTGTGACAAGTTCTTCCCTTTAATACCAATATTTGTGATCTTTTGACATTGATCTGCTTCTGAAAAACTTCAACCTTGACCATAACTTTTGAATGGTTGGTGCTAGAGTTTTCATATTTCATATGTGTATTCCTTGTGACAGAAGACCTTCCCTTGGGTACCAACATTTTTGACCTTTTCACTTTGACCCTGGAGTTTGACCTACTTTTGAAAAAAAAACTTTAACTTGTCAAAACTTTTGAACTGTTGGTGCTAGGGCTTTCATATTTCACATGTGTATTTCTTGTGACTGGACATTTCCTTGCGTAACAACATTTTTGACCTCATGACCCTGACCTTGGAGTTTTTAACTTACTTTTGAAAAACTTGAAACTTGACCATAATTTCTTAATGGTTGGTGCAACAGCTTTCATATTTTACTTGTATATTCCTTGTGACTAGAACTTCTTTGTACCAGCATTTTTGACCTCTTGACCTTGATCTTGAAGTTTGACTTGCATTTGAGAAACTTTAACCTTGTCAATGAGCTGTCATACAGGGGCATCAGTGTTTCACAAACACATCTTGTTTCTATTTTTTATTTGTAGAAGAAAGACCATTTACTGTTAGAGAAATCTTGTCATGTGCTATGTGAAAAGTATCCCTCAATGAAATATCCCTTAGAAGTCAAGTTACTGATAATTATGGATAGAGCTTTTTGTAAGTAGAATGTAAATTATCTTTTAGACTGGTTTTTATCTTTCTTTAAACTTGTATAATAGCAAGGCTGCAAGAGATAATTTTCTACTGTATACAAATGTATCATAGTATTGAATTATTTTGCCTAGGTTCTGAGCTTCTTTTGCCTACCAAGGATCCCCACATGTCTGAGACCATGACCCGGCTCTCAGAATTAGACAGTGAGAGTGTTACACTGAAAGCTGCCCAAGGATTCCAGTATATGTGTAACAAAGAACTGAATCAGGCTAAGGACTGCTTTGTTGAAGGTATCTTTGGGCTTTAAAAGTGTATAAGTATGGAAGATAGATTTTTAAAAGAATATTTTATTCACACATTTTGTAGAGTTGAATTGGGCAACTATTAGACCCCTCCAATATAGAAAATCTTCTTTGAAAAAAAAACAAAAAACAAGCAAACAAACAAAACAGTATTTTAGAAACAAATTTACATAAATTATATTTAATGATATTGTGTAACATTTCATTACTGGTATTGAATGTTGCAAAGGATGACTGCACTTAAGAACATGCGGAATTTGCAACAAAATAAACTTTCAAAACAAGCATTTTTCTTTTCATTGCAAGAATGGTCAACATCCAATATACCAACTTTATGAAATTATGTTTAATAAAAGTGTGTATTTACGAAGTTGGAAACTTTTTTCAAAGGCAGGGGCATCACAATTTCTTGAATCTCCGTTCGATAATGAGGACGCCCACTTTTTTACTGACTTTATACATAGTCAGCGCATGTTTGTCTATTGTTCTACGTTTAACAGTAGTTGTATATTTGCATAAATAATAATGTGTCAAAAGGAGAATAATAGACAAACATGCGCTCATGATTAAAAAGAGAAAAAACTGCTTCTTCTTACATTTGCTCTCTGTGTTGTAACCAAGGATTGTGACATGTTGAATATTATAATTCACCACGTGATTTCTTACCTCAGGTAACTGTGAATACTAAATTCCGTCACGTGACTTGTAAGGTAGCATGTTTTGTGCTAACTAGGACATTGTGTTCAAACACGATATGTCATCTGGCATTGATATAAAATCTGCTTTAATTACATTGACATGCTTATATTGTTAATTTCGTTTTAAAACCTTTGTCAGAAGTGTATTTGTGCCATACAGAATGGAGGGGGAGATTTGAAAGAGTGATCACGTTCGCTTTTCCAAACATGTCATTGTTATTTATCTAGTCTAATTTTAGACCCATTCTTAAATGTTAGCTCCACTTCTCATGCATATCTAATGTTCAATCAAGGGCAGGTAAGTGTAAATTCTCTATATTTGGAAAGAGTAAGGACAAAAAACATTGAATCATTTTATTGTATCACAGTCTAAAATCATTTTAAGATTTACATTTGGTCACAAATTGACAGGATTCTTTCATAAACATTCAACAGTGAAATAAGGTTTAGATATAAAAGCAAAAGAAGCAACCGAAAAAGACCCAAAAACAGGCGTTAAGTGCAGTCATCCTTTAAAGAAATACTTCCTTGGCTAAAAATTTGTGCCAATGTGCATTGATTAAGGAAGTGTTTTTCAGTTTAAATACTTCATAAAAGTATGCCCTGATACTTTTCCATCTCTGTTATACATTGTATATTTCTGTGACAGCTTTGCCAGTGATGACCTCCACAATCTGTGTACCATACTATCTGGCTCTGACCTACTTTCTATTACATAAATTGGCAGATGCTGAATCAACTATTAAGCAGTGTATGTATATTTCTTTCAGAATATTTGATATTCACTTTAAATGTGTACCATGGATAACTGTTGATGCGAAATAATTGGTATACAGTATTAACCTTTCACATTTTAAATCTTTTGATGAATTTCAACTTTGTTGGTCAGGTGCCATAAATCTAAGTAAGAAGAGTAGACAACTCACAGTGTCTAGTGGTGTCGTGTCCAGGAAAGTAAAAATCCTACAGGCCAGAATCCTTCTACAAACAAGGACCACGGACTCTCTCCAGTCAGCTCTAGCCATTACAGAGGAGGTAAAAAATAAAATGTGACAGATCTGTGCTATGATTGAAAGGGGATCCCCATCTCTCTCTCTCTCTCTAGTCAGTTTTCACATAACTTAGAGGTACATTGTGTAAGAGATATCTTGCATGGGGGGGGACCTATTTCTTTCTCTTGCTGTTATCTGTAGTGTATCATCACATAGGAGTTAAACGAAGCTTAGTATGTATAAGTCTAATTAAGATACATGCCACAACAAACATTTAAAATTCATTAGTCAACTGAAGGTTTGTCACTGATGCAGAAATAGGATTGAATTAAAGATTTATAAAACAAAAAAACAAAAACATTTGTTTTAATTGTGACAGATTCATACTTTTATTCATGTATTTCAGCTTTGTGCAGAAGATACAAGTCCACAAGTGTTGATTTTAAGAGGACACATTTTATTAAATTTGAATAGACTAGAAGAAACAGAGGTAAATATTGCATGTCGTTTGTCATTATTACATTTTCACAAACATGCTGTCAACTTTTATTTTTTGAATTCTACTACAGATATTGTATATAGAATATACAAATTATTTTGCTAGTCATAAAAATTTATCAGTATATGTTACAAACAAATTTATAAATGCTTAAGGATATTTTTAATCCAACAAAAGCTCAAATGGTCTGCATTCCATTGCAATCAATACACAAGTAGACAAACAAGTTGACCCTCTGGTGTGAAATGGAACAGCATTGTCATGACTTGGTGACCTAATTTATTTTTCTATATAGGAAATTATCAGCCATAGTTTAGAGCTGTTAGTAGAATAGAAATAAAGTTCTGTTGTCATGAATGATGCAGGATAACCTCATTCTGGAAATGTTTGAGATATTAAAGCCTCTGCTTTTATATTTCAAAACAACATTTCTCACCTTGAAGGTTATCCTGCAAATCCATGAAAACATTAACTTTATTTGTTAAATAGCAGTTGACTGATAATTCACAAAAATATGAATTGCCTTCTTTAGGATATCCTCAGTAAGTTAGAGGTTAACACAGAGAGAACAGCACTGGAGGGATATGTCATGTTCTACAAGGCGGAATATACCAAATCAGCAGCCATGTGAGTGTCCTAACTAAATATATAATAATTTAAGGAATTCTGCTATGTGTTGAGTGTTACTATTTTCTTTAATTGCATGGAAATTGTATCTATTTACATAATGAATAACATGAATCCCTTTGCTTCATATTTTGTACACTATCGCTACATGTACTTACACGTTTTTTTCATGTTGGTTATGTTGTAGATTTTGTGAGTTGATGAAGCAAGATACCTCCAACAGTGAGTACCACCTGATGTATGCCAAGTCCCTGTGGTTTGATAAAGAGAGACTCCAGAATAATCTTCAACCCTGCCATACTGCTCTTCTGAAGGTCACAAATCTTTGTCATATTATTAATGTAAAATGTTTAATTACAGAAATATAGGTAAGAAATGTAATATTGCCTGAATGACCTACCGTATAGTAGCATAGTAGAGGAAAATAATCCGGCTCCGGGGCCATAAAACTTACATGAGCTCACTTTTTTGATCTCTATGTCTGACTTATAGATGAGTCCTAGAAACACTATCTTTTTCTGGATGGCGAAATGACTTCTTTTTGAATTTTTGGGAATAACATATTAAATATCAATATCATATTCCTAAATATTATTTTAACACAGGTTCAAATACATTAGAGTATTTATATAAAATTTATTTGTTGAGAATAAAAGATTAAATATCGGATGGGCATCTTTTTCCAAAATATTATTTCAAACAAAGGTAAAATCTTTAGAGCAATGATCTAAAATGTTAACCAGATATTTGCAAAAAAGTTGTATAGTACTTACTCATAAGAAGGTCAAAGGCAAATCCCTCCAAACTAACCTGAAAAAAATACAATGGGCTTATAAATGGCCTGACTTATAGGGGAGTACATATGGTACTGGTAAAGAAGAAGGTACAGTTTTAGCTTTATTGTGCCCTAAAAATTTAATGTTTTTGAAAAGTTCTGAAACTGGCTTAAATATTAGTTGAGTTTATTACTGTGATAAATTGGGAAAGAATATTCATGAAGGAGTACCATTCTGGAAATATGACATCATTTGATGCATTTCTCTATTTTAAACAGAAAAAGCCTTAAAATGACCCATTTCAAGGGTTATTTTCCTTAAGAAAATAGTGTCCACAGCCGTTGCCCACTTTAATTTTTGGATATGTTGTGTAAAATTCTTTGCAAAATCACATATCTCAAAATCTTTCTGGGTGATGCCTGTGGACAATATTATCTGAAAGAAAATTTCATTGAAATTTGGTGTCTTCTGCAACTTTTTAAGAAAATGCGGGAAAATGCACAAGATTATGACGTCACAATTAGCATTTAGAAGGTCATGTGAGAATAATGATTTGTATGATCTTTCTGCATGGAATTTCGATGATTCAGAAAGCATGTGTTTTAATTTTTTACATCACTTTTATTTTTAAGAAAAACACAGGGCAAGATTTGTATTGAAACCACACCTTGTTCTTTACAGTTATATATGTCATATGAGACAATCGTTCAAAATAGCAGAATGTGCTAATCAATAAACTAACACTATGATGAAAGTGAAATCAGTCCTTAGTACTAAGAAAAGTATCCAGAAAAAAGGTAGTTTGATTTATTTCCCATACATGTATATTATATACCCACCTCCCACTCTTGAACAATTTTCTGATGAAGAAAAAAGTGTGCATAATATACGTGACTTTACGGTATTACCCATCTACTTCTACAGTCAGCCAAGCTTGATTCCTACTGCAGTGAGCCATTTGAGTACTTGGGGAGATTTTACACAGAGATACAAAAAGACCAAGTCAAGGGAAAGCGCTGTTTTCAGAAGGCGTTTGATCTGGACAGGAGCAATGACAGTGCTGGGGAGGCGCTCTGTGATATCATGAACAAGATTGGAGAAGAGGTTAAAATCTTTTTCAAAACTTATTAGCCATGATAAAAAATATTATTCTGTTTTCATATATACATGTAAAAGATGTATATGGATAATAGTATTTTCCTGTTGTAGGAAGATGCGTACCAGCTGCTTTTGTCTGTGACAGGTAAAGCCAGTGCTGGATGGTAAGTTTTACAAGTGACTCTTGACTTTTTTTGATTAACAATTTTCCTGCCTCTGTTTTGAACTTTTTGATTTGTTGTTTTAATAGCTGCAAGTGGGCATGGCTTAGATTGGGCCTTCACCAAGTCAAACATGACACAGCATCGGTAGCCATATCCAGCTTTCAGTCAGCTCTCAGGGCAGATCCTAAAGACCCGTAAGTAATTTACAGACTGATAAATTATGAAGTTCAATATGAAGTTTATGCTCAGGGAATCTACATGTAAGCTGTAGACACATTATCTTTGATTGTGTTGTTTTCCGTAGACATGTCTGGGAATGTTTGGCAGAGGCATACTACAAGAGAGGAAGCTATACAGCAGCTCTTAAGGCTTTCACCCGAGCATCAGAGGTACATGTAGGAGTATTATATAATTGTCATATTTTATAGCAGGGAAGATAGATGTATAATGTTTTGTAATATTTTTCTTTATAATTTTGAAAATGATAAATACATGATTGTACATGTGTATACAGAAATTTGAAGCATCCCTATATTGTGCATTTGGATACTATTTTTCAGTTGAATCCAAATTCTGTGTACAGTCTTTACATGTGAGTATATGTATTATAAAACAAAGCAGTTTTATACTTCTTTTCTGAAAATTATTGTACATAATATGTTTTAAAGTTCTTTAATATATCTTTTGAATACATTTTCATAATAGAACTATTTAATATTTCAGGATTGCATGCATTAAACAAACACTGAGTATGCTGACAGAAGCTATAGAGGAATATGGATTTATCCTGAAGGACAAACCAAATTATGTGCCAGCTCTGAAAGGTAGGATGTTCAATTCCTGCAGACAGTACAGATAGCAATTTGGGAATACAATACATGTAGATCTAAGAAATTGAGCCCAGTGAGGGTTTGTCATGATCTTGGAATTAAGAGACCCTTATCAATCCAAAATTAAATAGAGTATAAAGCACAAGTAGAGACCCCTATGCTGTATTTATAGGTATAGGAGAGACATATGTACTGCTGGCCAAACATCATTTCTCACAAGGTTTCAATGGACGAGCAAAAGAAAATTGTCAAAATGCTCTTCAGTTTTTGACAAGGTATTATACATTTTTTGTTACAAGAGCATATTGCTGCATACTTACTTTGCTGAAAAAAATATATTTTGCACAAAAGTTTGATAGAAAAAAAATTATGAATTGGCTTGAAATGTTTTTCTTCAAATAACATATATCAAAAAATTGTACAGTTTTTTATGATTCCTTCTTATATCACACATGCATATACACTGTATATGTAAGTTCTGTGAGTAAAATATTCAAGTTCTGCTGAAACTTTGCTATGTGGTATAATATGTGGTATAATGTCATTTAATACAAACTTCATTCTTTTAGGGCAGTGTGTCACAGACCTGACCTGTCATGCTTGTGGAAATTAATGGGGGATTCCTGTACCATCATCCATCCCCTGCCATCACAAACCTTCAGGTCAGAAACAGTTCCTATACACATATATACATTTAAAAACTTCAGGGAAAGAAAATTACTTCATTGTAAGGGTGAACACATTAAAAAGAGTAACAGTGTTTTACTGTAGTAATCCTATGCATTGTATCAGATCAGTGTTCCAACTAAATCTTAAACATTTGTAGATTTAATGTGCCAGAAAACTTGTACAAATCCAAAGAGTCAGCAGAAGAATGCAAACTCAATTTGCTACAGACTCTAGAGCTAGGAGCCAGGTAAATACTATTCTACAGACTCTAGAGCTAGGAGCCAGGTAAATACTATTCTACAGACTCTAGAGTGAGGGGCCAGGTAAATATTATTCTACAGACTCTAGAACCAGGAGCCAGGTAAATACTATTCTACAGACTCTATAGTGAGGGGCCAGGTAAATATTCTACAGACTCTAGAGGGAGGGGCCAGGTAAATATTATTCTACAGACTCTAGAGTGAGGGGCCAGGTAAATATTATTCTACAGACTCTAGAGTGAGGGGCCAGGTAAATATTATTCTACAGACTAGAGTTAGGAGCCATAAATATTATTATAGAGACTCTAGAGCCAGGAGCAAAATTAATATTATTCTACAGACTCTGTAGTGAGGGGCCAGGTAAATATTCTACAGACTCTAGAGTGAGGGGCCAGGTAAATATTACTCTATAGACTTTAGAGTTAGGATCCAGGTAATTATTATACTTTAAGTTATATTGAGAGATCTAAAATGAAAATGCAGAATTCCATAGCTATTTGGAGATAAACTTTTGTTTTGATGAGTTGGCAGTTAAAGGCAAAGGCAGTCATTATCAGGTGTTATGTTTTGTTTTTTTTTAAGGTGTTATGGTCGAGCTTTAAAGTTACTCCCTGACTGTGCTGCTCTGTGGCATGACCTTGGCTTTAATCTCTATCAGCAGGCCTTGCACTCTAATGGCCAGGAGTCTCTGGATATGGCAGAGAAGTCCGTGGAAGCCCTGAGGAAGGGATTATCCTTGGATCCTGTCAATCACCTTATCTGGAATGCCCTAGGATTAGTCTACTGTCACTCAGGTCAGAAGGAGTATCAACAGTAAGAAAAGTTAATGGGAATGTTAATTGAAAATACACCATTATAAAATAAGTTATTCTTTTTTCAGGTCTGAAGAAGCCATCACTAGGGCAGCACTGTTTTATTAAATCAATACAAGCAGAATCTGCTGTAAGTCATTTTTTTTCTTTTTCCCAGAATTGGTTTATTTGTATGCAGTATGTATCATTTTGTACACCTGAATTACATGTACCGGTACTAATATTTCTGTGGTAGTTCAATGTATATACATGTACATTCCACTCATATTGTCTTTTGGCATTTTAACCTTCATACAGAATTCAAAGAATCTGTAAAATTCACTTTTCAAAGAAAAAGTCATAAATGTATACATAGATTACAAACTAACAAAATATTTTTGGGCCTATTCCAATCTTTTAATATGTTTCAAAAACTAAACAAAAAAATTAAGAAATGAAAAAAAAATCCATGTAAAATGAACATTTAAATACAGTAAAATCATGTATCAGTTTTATCATTTCTTTCCAGAATGTGGTGGCTTGGACAAATTTAGCCACGCTTTATCTGAAGAATGGCAACATTGAGGTACACTTGTTTTTTTTTCTTTTTTTTTTTTTTTGCTTTTTGTTTATAGAAAATTATGCTCTTCTGGGTAAAAAAAATCAATAAAGCACACTTAAACATGACTTTCTGATGATCATTCATCACACATTTTTTTTATTGCTCATTATATTGGGGTTATATCTAAATCACAAGTATGTGTATCTAAACCATATCATTCAATATATACCGTATATACTCGCCTATAAGTCGGTCCGCCTATAAGTCAGTTGCATTTTTTGAGGTTATTTTGGAGGGATTTGCCATTTGTATAAGTCGGTACAACTTTTTGCCAGCATCAGTTGACAATTTCAAATCAATGCTCTGATGTTTTAACCTTGTTTCGATTAATATTTTTAGAAATGACAAAGATATTTAATTTTAAATCATGAAGAAAATACATAATGCACACTTAAGATAAAAATAGTTATTAAAATATATAAATACTTGTACTTTACGTATAATCTAAGAAAACATAAATGATATAATATATCCAGACTTTGTTCAGCGATAATTGTTGGAAATGTTAATAAAATACTATATTTCACCGTCCTAAAAAATACTAATCTTTTTATGACTCGCCTATAAGTCGGACGTACAGTTTTGGACCAAGATTTAACTCCCAAAAAACCGACTCATAGGCGAGTATATATGGTACATCTTGATAATATTTAGAATATATCTGCTCATGGTACAGAAAGCTTTCATTTTAAGTACTGTACAGCAGGTCAAAATCGCGGTCGGAAAAGATCGCGATTTGTTCAACTTGCAGCAAATCGCGGTCGTTTGAATTCGCGGAAAGGAAAAATTATACAAAAACTTTTTCAGCACTGCAAATATTTTTCTTGCGTATTTTGTCGATTATGAACCCGATTAAATAGAACGAAACACCGTACTGATCCCGATTGGATTAGAAGATAAAATATCATACGATGTACAATGTTACGCATTCAGATAAATTTTCTTCTTTCTTTCTCGTGTTTTCTTTCTTTTTATTAAATATTTTTGAAATACATATGATTCTATACTCGAGTGATTTATTCAAGTGATTTCAAGTCGTATCCAAAACATTCATGTAAAAAAAGAAGCCATTTGGCAGGTGTTCGTTCATAGCTACGTTTTGAGTTGAGTACAGAGTAGTATTTACTGCAGTATATTTAAATCCCTTTGAATCTAAATCAGTTGTCACTACCGATAGTCAACATGTTTAACTGTTAATAAAATTTAATTAATGTGTAACAGTGTTGTCTTTACAACGTAAGTGCCTTGATTAAAGATAATACATGTAGGACTGAGTGATACGCACAGGTGAAATCTAACAATACATGTTTTATAGATAATTACATCGCACCTCTACTGGGTGGCAGAATTGAATGTTATAGATGTTTATTTATCAATTGTTAACGTCTTAGTAATTAATCCGTTCACCTGCATAATTAGGAAGACAGTCTACATCTCCTCTATATATCAATTACTGCTTTTATGTTTGCAAGAAACACAAATAGAGTTACCGAATTTAATCACAGATATCGGTAATATTTCAATTTATCCTTATCAATTTTTGAAGAATTATTCACTGTATGTTGAATTCACGGAATTTTTATTTCCGCGAATATAGTGAATATTAACTCTGCGAGTTAATTTCTTGCTGTACAGTAATTGCTCTTTTTTATACGCCTGTCTTAAGGTATGTCACTCGTCAGCCTTTTAGAAAATTTTAGTCAGAACCTCTTACTTAAAAACTATTTATTACAATTCAATCTTTATAACATATATTTAAATTAAACAATGTAAAATGTTCAACATTCAATTAAAAAACTGCTCAAAAATTCACAAAGAAGCAAGATTTATAAGGGACTATTTCTTGTGGCGGAAGGATATTTATCAGAAAATTCTGCAAATCTACACATTTGTCAAATTTAATATCTTGGAACTTCAGCCTCACATACTTTTACTCAGAGAATATTTTCCGTTATGATATGCCTGGAATATTAAATATGGGTCTCAATTTATATTTTTATAACAAAATTTACACCTTCGCTCAACAAACATTGCCAAGAAATGAAGATATATTAAGGAAGTCGAGATAAAATTTACACAGTTTTTTGCCTGAAAATCACATATTTTGACCAATATTTCAAAATTTACATCACTGACCCCAACTTTTTCTTTCATTATTTTAAACTACTCGATACTTTTGACCGATCAGCAAATAAGTCGTAAAAAGTTTGATACAAGAAAATATTCTATTGCCTATTTAGATTTTTAATACCCCAAATATGAGACTTTTTTAGAGCAAAAAGGTCACACAATAATTTACGTGCATTAATTTGCACGATTTGTTCAATGATAAATATTATTCAAACTATTTTACTTAAAATAAGATTATGTTTATTGCCATGGTTACATCTTATAAAATATGATAACGGTTAAAGTGATTAACCAAAGAGTTACACTTTAAGTGCAAAAAGGTCAACTTAATTGTACCGTAGCTCAGTTAGATGCACACTGACCCCCCATTTTCTCTGCGATTTTGAGTCATACTATATGAGTACTTATCCAAAATATACTTCTCAAAAAATCCTTGATATAAAAAATTTCACGAGTGACATACCTTAAGAGGGGACATATTATGGTATGATGTTTCTGTCCATTTGTCTAGCTGTCTGTTTGCTATTTTATGTCTGGCCAATAACCTCAATACTATGAGGTCTAGAATAATCAAACTTTGTCAGCTGATACTTCTTTGGTAGAACGTGTGTACCACATTAAAAATAGGTCACTTTTACCTTTAAATAAGATGATATGGCCTAATAAAGCAAAACCCTGTCTGGCTCATAACTGGAAATTTATTAGACCTAGCATCATCAAACTTGGTAAATTAATGCATCTTAGGTGGAAGGTATGTCACACCCAACATATTAAGGTCACTTTGACCTTAAGTTATATTTAAAAAAAAAAAAAACAACTTAAAGTGTTCCAAGGAACATGTGTCACTTGCCAAAGCGTCATTAAAGACATAGATAAATGATAGTTATTTATTTTTTAAATATTACAGTATACAAGCATTACTGTATTCAGGCGGGAAAAAAAATCCATGGATAGTGAGAAAAAACTATCATTAAGCTATAAACAGTTCAAAGAATATGTGTTTATCGGCACTATGGTGTATTTTGAAAAGTAAAAAGATCATAGGTCAAGTTCAAAGGTCTCAAGGTCGGTATCCCTGGTGTTTTACAAAAGCCATTCTTCCACGCAAAACATGAGCCAATAGTCAAGTCTTTACCTCTAACAGTTCTCAAGATACAAGGTGTGACAGACAGATGCCAGGCAAAGTGATCCATGTGACACTCTGCTCAGCAGGTGACACAAAAACTATGTTTTAATAGAAATAATCCCTACTGATGTAAAAGTATTGCAGTAACTTTATTCAGAAATTTACACCCAAAACACCCCACATTTTTATCATGATATACTTTTAAGTGATTTATTAAAAATATATATAATATATTAAATTTCTTTTCTTTCTAATAATAACAAGAGACATCCCACTTGTCCCATGGGAGCCTTTGTTTTTCAAGGCATGCATGGGGCATTTTGATAAGAGCCAAATTTCATCCGTCAAGTTAAAGATTAATTGATGAGTTTAGTGTAAGAAGACAATCTAAACCATTTCTGTTAGAGTATGTCTGATCAAGTAGCTGTTATTTATTATATCTTTCAAGAATTGGGCAAAGGAATCTGACCTCTTAATTGCAATAGATAGCATCTATCAAATTAAAATTGTTCTCAATGACTAGCCTTTATTTTTAAAATTAATTTGGTATAAAGCTATCAAAATTATTTTGATATTGTAAAATATATATATTTTTTATTTTTATTTCTCAAAAACCAATATGATGAGTGGTATGTCTCACTAAGATAATAGATGGTTGCAATAAAGGTATACACTCTAATATTAAACATAAAGATAAGTATTTTGATGGTTTTTTTTTTTTTTTTTTTTTTTTTTTTTGGCAGTGGCGTTGTTCATCATTCATAAAAAAATGCAGTGAACAAAAGCTGCAGACTGGATTTTTGTGTAAATCCAACACAACTAGTTGAGAAATTACATATGATGTGCTATTTGTTCTAATTTATAACTTCAGCATAGGAAATGCATATCAAAATTATGAATGGAAAAATCATTGAAATCTTTATATCAAGGTTGACATTATTTTCTTTCATACACATTCATCTGTTTGTGGTAATTAAACAATTAATATTTGACTGGCATATTTTGTGTAGTGGTGGTGCACTCTATTCATATAAGTCATAAATTTTTGTTTTTTTTCTTGGCAACTTCAGTTGGCACATGAGGCCTACAAGGTGGCTCAGAGTTTGGATCCTAACTATGTATCCTGCTGGATTGGACAGGTTTGTATCAAAACTTCATTGTGAAGTACATACATGTATGTTGATAAAGCAGTTTCATTTCATATATGGTGGATGAAAAATGATCCATTCTTTGCATACTTCATTTTTGCTCTGATAACTAGATAAATGACTACAGAATTTATTGTTACTTTGATATATTTCTAGGCTATGATTGCAGAAACTGTAGGAGATGATGATGCCATGGACCTGTTCAGGCATACTACTGAGTTATCTCCCCATGTTTGTATTAAAATCAGATTTTCTTTTAGATTTTTCATTTCTTTTCAAGTTATTTTATGGTGTCTATCAAAGAATGCATGCCTGTAACATTTAGAACTAATCTTCCCACAGGTGGAGGGATCTTTGGGTTATGCACACTGGGTCTGTACATTACTTCAGGATGAAACCAAACACAATACAGAAATGTACAGCTATGCTATCCACCAAATGTTAGCTGTCCCAGCAGCCTCGGATGCTTTGGTCAAATATCTAGGTAGAATAAAATACAGGTTTTTCAATTGACAATAATTCCATGAATTTTTATTTTATGAGTAAAAGCTTCTTCCATTCTCATGTGGTAATTCATGATTTATACATATTTTTATGTGAATTTAATGGCATATTCTGTTATATAGATCTAGTGGAGACCAACCCTGGAGCATACAATATGTATGGACTGCTGAAGGAACAGCAAGGACTGTACCAAACAGCAAAGGAGGCATTCCAAAAGTATGGCATGAAAAGGGGTCATTTTATTTATTGTAATAATTACTAGTAATTAAAGTTCATAATTATATACATGTAACTTGGTGATTCTGAAAAAATAATGCAAAAAGAAACCCCCAATGATAGTAGATATACAGGTATGCTGATATTAAAATTGTTCTTCAAGTATTACAATAAAATGTTCTTTGGCTAAGTGAACTATGGATATAACAAGACAAAATAATAATCTTGAAAGGTTTACAGTAGCCATACTTATTAATCATGGCGGTATCATATTAAAAATATTCTCAAATTTCATTTCTGGAAAAAAAATTGTCTTTTAATTAAGAGCAAGTAATCTGCTTTGTGCAAACAAGGCTGCATTTTTATTTGCTGTCTAATGTTTGCCATGGGATGGTCTGAGAGTACTTTACTTTCTTTTCATGTTTTCAGAACATACTTTACTTTCTGTTTGCAGGAAAATGTTGTTAGTGTGTTTCTGAATCATTTACAAATTAATCTCTAGTTTTACAAGGCAGACCTTTTTCCAAAGTTCTTTAATTTGATTCTACACAGCTTGAGTTTACTTTAAGTTTGATTCTACACAGCTGTGAGTTTACTTTTAGTTTGATTCTACACAGCTGTGAGTTTACTTTTAGTTTGATTCTACACAGCTGTGAGTTTACTTTTAGTAATTCTACACAGCTTGAGTTTACTTTTAGTTTGATTCTACACAGCTTGAGTTTACTTTAAGTTTGATTCTACACAGCTGTGAGTTTATTTTAAGTTTGATTCTACACAGCAGTGAGTTTACTTTAAGTTTGATTCTACACAGCTGTGAGTTTACTTTTAGTTTGATTCTACACAGCTGTGAGTTTACTTTTAGTTTGATTCTACACAGCTGTGAGTTTACTTTAAATTTGATTCTACACAGCTGTGAGTTTACTTTAAGTTTGATTCTACGCAGCTGTGAGTTTACTTTTAGTAATTCTACACAGCTTGAGTTTACTTTTAGTAATTCTACACAGCTTGAGTTTACTTTTAGTTTGATTCTACACAGCTTGAGTTTACTTTAAGTTTGATTCTACACAGCTGTGAGTTTACTTTAAGTTTGATTCTACACAGCAGTGAGTTTACTTTAAGTTTGATTCTACACAGCTGTGAGTTTACTTTTAGTTTGATTCTACACAGCTGTGAGTTTACTTTTAGTTTGATTCTACACAGCTGTGAGTTTACTTTTAGTTTGATTCTACACAGCTGTGAGTTTACTTTAAATTTGATTCTACACAGCTGTGAGTTTACTTTAAGTTTGATTCTACGCAGCTGTGAGTTTACTTTTAGTAATTCTACACAGCTTGAGTTTACTTTTAGTTTGATTCTACACAGCTGTGAGTTTACTTTAAGTTTGATTCTACACAGCAGTGAGTTTACTTTAAGTTTGATTCTACACAGCTGTGAGTTTACTTTTAGTTTGATTCTACACAGCTGTGAGTTTACTTTTAGTTTGATTCTACACAGCTGTGAGTTTACTTTAAATTTGATTCTACACAGCTGTGAGTTTACTTTAAGTTTGATTCTACGCAGCTGTGAGTTTACTTTTAGTAATTCTACACAGCTTGAGTTTACTTTTAGTAATTCTACACAGCTTGAGTTTACTTTTAGTTTGATTCTACACAGCTTGAGTTTACTTTAAGTTTGATTCTACACAGCTGTGAGTTTACTTTAAGTTTGATTCTACACAGCAGTGAGTTTACTTTAAGTTTGATTCTACACAGCTGTGAGTTTACTTTTAGTTTGATTCTACACAGCTGTGAGTTTACTTTTAGTTTGATTCTACACAGCTGTGAGTTTACTTTTAGTTTGATTCTACACAGCTGTGAGTTTACTTTAAATTTGATTCTACACAGCTGTGAGTTTACTTTAAGTTTGATTCTACGCAGCTGTGAGTTTACTTTTAGTAATTCTACACAGCTTGAGTTTACTTTTAGTTTGATTCTACACAGCTGTGAGTTTACTTTAAGTTTGATTCTACACAGCAGTGAGTTTACTTTAAGTTTGATTCTACGCAGCTGTGAGTTTACTTTTAGTTTGATTCTACACAGCTGTGAGTTTACTTTTAGTTTGATTCTACACAGCTGTGAGTTTACTTTAAATTTGATTCTACACAGCTGTGAGTTTACTTTAAGTTTGATTCTACGCAGCTGTGAGTTTACTTTTAGTAATTCTACACAGCTTGAGTTTACTTTTAGTTTGATTCTACACAGCTTGAGTTTACTTTAAGTTTGATTCTACACAGCTGTGAGTTTACTTTTAGTTTGATTCTACACAGCAGTGAGTTTACTTTAAGTTTGATTCTACACAGCTGTGAGTTTACTTTAAGTTTGATTCTACACAGCTGTGAGTTTACTTTTAGTAATTCTACACCGCTTGAGTTTACTTTTAGTTTGATTCTACACAGCTTGAGTTTACTTTAAGTTTGATTCTACACAGCTGTGAGTTTACTTTAAGTTTGATTCTACACAGCAGTGAGTTTACTTTAAGTTTGATTCTACACAGCTGTGAGTTTACTTTTAGTTTGATTCTACACAGCTGTGAGTTTACTTTAAGTTTGATTCTACACAGCTTGAGTTTACTTTTAGTTCAATTCTGCACAGCTGTGAGTTTACTTTTAGTTTTCGTTTACAGAGCAGTCAAATTACTAGATCCCAGTGACATACTTCTGAACTTGGTAAAAATCAACTTGGCCAGAACACTTTGGTAGGTATACTATCTATTAAATTCACCAAAATTTTAAAGTTGTTTTAATTGTCACTCAATAGCAAACAAAATACCTATACATGTAAACTATTGAAACATAAATGTTGGGGATACAAATTTTGTGGTAAGTTCAGCAGTAAATACCATCCTTATCTGTTTTAGTAAGCTTGGTGAGTACCCTGCAGCATTATTCCTATATGCAAAGTTTGGAGAACTGGACTCCCTTCAAGATCAATGTTACATGGGTTTGGCATTCTACAAGGCACAGAAGTACACAGAAAGCTATCAAGGTCAGTACCTCTGTACATATTCAGTAAATGGTGTATTCTACATGTATATAACGTGCATGCACATGCATGTAAATCAAATGATGAAATTCTCTTGGGTGCAGCATATAATTAATTTGATCCATTTTTTTATTTTAACAGTAAGAACAGGATCATGTCGAGTTGACAAGTGCGGATCATCAGATCAAATGAGATGTGGAGCACTGAGTTTGATCTGATGATCCACAACTGTCAACAAGACGTGATGAAGCTCTTCAGATCAAGTCACTGTTATAATGATACTAGTATATTATGTACCCTGTACCCTCTATAATTAGCTAAGTATAATAAATAAAACCTTCAGGATCAAATATACAATAGTTTTCTATTAAACAAAACACATTTTTTAAGGAACTTATTGATACACAAGAAGGATAATGTCATGTATACTATGCACTCATCAGAGAGTGGTGAAGCACAGTGTGGTGATCCAGAAACTCAGATAACACCATCACACATGACTGTGTGAAAACAACAGTAAAATTGTATGATACACAGTTGGGTATATAATAAAAGGAATTATTTGATCCCAAAAACTTGCATAATTATACCTTTTAAATATTTGTTGAATTAAATGTGACAGCCTATGACAGAGCACTTGAGATTAGCACTACTGACAAAGACAGTTCACACATCCATGCAGTGCTAGGAATGGTGGCCTACAAGTTTGGAGACGTAGATGGAGCCAAGGCTTCCCTATTTCAAAGGTTGTACAATTTGTTCAACATTTATTCCCTCAGTATTTCATACAGTGTTTACTATTCTCATATCTTATCTTAATATCAACATTCTACATTTCTCCTTTAAAATATAACATTTACCGTACTTGGCATTTACTTGCATTCATGAAGGAGTAAAATTCAAATCATGATGTCCTTTGATAAACTAGTTAAGAACATACATGTGCATAAAATGAACACTTTTCTAACTGAAACAATGCCTCTGTAAGGTAAACTAAAAACATGATCGTGAATTTGAATTCAACCTTATCTGGAAGAATTCTGCCATGACAATTACACAAATTCTCCACTCTCATTTTATATACATGTAGCTTGAACTTTCTCAAGAATACTTAGTTGATCATGATACATCCTTTGATCACAAGCAGAATTTGAGTCAAGCCTATGAAAATGGTACATAAAATTTGTAAAACATGGACTAAATTCATCTCAATCTTGTGACATTGTCCAAATGGCTGAGGCAAAGCTAGACATAACATACTCACTGGTCAGTAGCAACTTAGTCATGCCAAGTAGGAGCTTCTACTCTTCCTGCCTTACAAAGTTTTTCACAGGAAAATAATATTCCACTTTAAAACTTGTGGCCTTGAAAATGACAACCTTGTTTCATGATCTAAATGCACCTCTTGTTCATTAGCAACTACCGGTATTTTACATAGAATGGTTAATGTTTCTGCATTACACAAAATGCAGCCAATGGTATTTCCACCGTCCAAATTTTTTTTTCAGTGATATGAAATGAATAAAATTACTTTAAAGTGTTTTAGAAGTGTAATATCATTATTGTTATTTGCATAACATGCTTCATGTACAATATATCTAACAATGTGCAGACAAAATTTTATAATGCACCGAAGTGCATTTTTTTTTCATTTTGTATTTAATGTTTTAAATGTTACAGTTCTCAGCTGCAGCCCCCTTCACGTCATGGTCTGGAAGCTTTGTGTGCCTTAGGACTGATGACGTGTGACATGACCTTGACTCGTGCTGTTCTCCAGGAAATGCCCAAAGTAGGAGCAGACAACTCTAGTCCCTACTTTACAGTAGTTCATCATTGTCTTCTGGAGGATGACTGGGAACTGGCAAAAGCATTCATACAGAAATGTATCCAGAAATCTCCAGACAGTTACTCTTTGTGGAGGCTGTTGTCACGGTTACAGTTGAGATGTTGCCATGACAGTCTTTCCTCGTCTTCCTCAGTGTGTGCACAGACAGCCTTGTGTCTCAGGCCTGAGTGTCAGGTACAGTTTAGTTACAATTAATTTGTTTTAACTCAAATAAAACCTTGAAATTTCATGAAATTTTTGCGAACTTATTTCAATCTTTATAGAACTTGCTGACTGATGCTACTCTAGGACTGTTAATTGATGGCAAGCATGTATCAAAAACCACAAACAATGAGGCTTTACTGAGTGCACAAAGGGCAACTCTTATAAACCCAGGTCAGAATGATTATTACAGTATACTGTATAAGAAGTTAGTAATATTTGCACACATTCAAACTTTAATTACCAGAAAAATACTGAGTCGTCCCTGTTCTCTGTGAAATGTTATAATAATTCACTGCTTTGTTGTAGAGAAATTGGAGAACTGGTGCACCTTGGTATCAGCAGTGCACAGCCAATCAGTGCTGGAGGCGGAGTCAGAAAGAATGACAGCTCTCCTCAAACTTGAATCCAGCTATCTAAGATGGCTAATATCAACAACCAGTAAGTGAGGGGAAATATAGAAACTACACAAATAAATCAGAGTTTTTAGTATTACATGTATTACATGATGTTTGTTTGTTTCACTGTGTTTTACAGATATAACTGATGTGTTAAGGGGCTGGTGTCAGAAACAGGTGACAGTTGTTTCTTTACTTACAAGAGAGATAACAAAGGTAGGTAGAAAATTGTGAAAATAGTGAGTTTTGTTATAAAAGAATGGTTTTTTCATGTAGAAATGATTTCTCATATTTTCATCCTTCTTAGGAATCTGTTGGAGATGACATGAAAGTATTTGTTAACAGTCTTCTAGAAAGATATTCACAGTGAGTGTTGTTAAAAATTGATAAACATACAAGTACTTTTGCACCTACTTTTTTACATAAGCTGATTTACAAATATATGAACATTGTAATGCTGTAGTAACCCTGTTTGTTTTTCAGACCTAACAATGATGAGCAGCAAGTCCTCAAGCTATATAAATCCCTTCTAGTAAGTTTTCACAGATTTCAGACACTACTTTGATATTGATTGCAAAAATTAGAATATGTGATTTTGACAAGCATAAAACTGTTGTACATAGTCTGGTTCTTGATATACAATGTACATCCGGTAGGCCTTATTTTCTCTTAAACTAGTCATTGGCCCTCTTTTTTTGTTCCAGCAGTTCTAGTTTATTTACTTGATCAATTCACTAAGTTAGTACCGTAACTGTCTGATACCCTCTGGTATACCTTCTTTACCTAGTATATTTATGTACTTATTAGACTTTGGTTTCTGACAAACTGTTTTGTTTAGTCTGTCAGTTTATATAGTCAACAAACACTGTCTTCCAAAGAATACATTCTAAATGTTGATTGTCAAGACAAATTTTCTTCCGTTATAATTTGATGTACAGTACAAGAAGACATTGAAATGGTGTCTTTTTTTCAGTCTGATACAGGGAATGATGAGGTCTCTAACAAATTCACCAGGTTGACAGATGAGTTGATAAAAAAGTCCACTCTCTCTGAGTCCTTAATAATGCTGATGAAAGCTGTTCTCTTAATGAAATCAAATCCCAAGTAAGTTCAGTATCTACTTGCACTGATCAAAGTATGTCTAGGGCCTGTCCATATATATTGTTCTTTGAACAGAAACTTTGGAGTGAACATTGTACTGTAATTCATGCAAATGTACATGTATTTTACATCCTTCAAATTTGGATATTTTTAAAAATTTCATGTAGTAGTGATGTTATATGTCATCGTCATTATAACGCATAACATCAAAGAGATAACTGTAATTATTGTTACTATAGACTGGCCAAACACCGCCTAGTAGACATCCTGGTCAGGACAAAGACAGAGTTTGACCGGTCACTACTGGTCAGGTCCATCACTAGGAGGTGTCTCCTTCACATACTCAAAGACAATGCTGAGAAAGAAAGCGAACTCATTCAGGTATAAAACTGTGTATAAAGAAATAGATTTACAGTAAAACACACTTATAGGGAACACACTTATAATGAATTCATGCTTAGAGGGAAGTGATTTTCATTCCTAGTGGTCTAGGAACGTAAACGTCTAGGGATATGAAGAATTACGATTATAACAAAGCAAAATTGTCCATCCCTGACAAATTGCTATAAGCGTGTTTTACAGTATACTGTATTTTTATTTTGTAAATGCTTATACATGTGAATTATGAATATGAATCAAACATAATGGTATATGTTGAGATTCATTTATTAGATTATTCCACAACAAATCGCCCTATATTCTGTGTATAAATGGATGATACCTACGGCTACAGTGGCTGCAACGTTATTGTTGACAAACCAATCATGTAGAATCATTCGTGTAACATGCGTGATCGTTCATCTTACGTGAGAGATCGTGCGTGTATCAGGCTCAATCGTTTGCGGTTTTAATCGTGCATTAAGAAATTTCATTTTGTAAGTTCATTGGAATATTATTTCTCAAACAAAACATTTTGCTGGTTTGTTTTTTTTTTTTAATTCCAAATAAAATAAATGAAGCGCGATTTACATAATTGAATGAATTAATATCGCTAGTAAATAAGCAACATAGTAAGTCGTACAATATTGTATTCTCTTCAATTAAATAGCGTGACCTTTAATGGTAAATCATATTTAAGATGTTAAACAATTTTTTTCTCAGATGTTAATTATGTTTACTGCTAATTGTGGTCAAGATATTTTTTTATATCAAAAATGCATATTCTTACAACAAAAATAAATAAATAAATAAATAATTCCCAAAGCTTTAGTTACATAAATATATAGTCGGCGAATGTACATGACGATTGTCGGGGTTACTTTTATCAGTGTTTGTCTCTGAAACTTACTTTATTCTTATAATTTCTGCATATGAATGATTTGTAAAACAATTGTTTATTTTAGAAATTCACAAATGGAAAGATGGATATAGCTATAATTCATTTTTATGCCATTTTTTTAAAACTCAGCCCCCTCCCTAATTGCATACCAAAAACCCAAAAGAATCAAAACTAACGGCCCATCTATATCATCTGAGAGAACATGCAGAAATCGATCATAAATTACATTTTAACGTATTGATCGAAAAGAACAAAATCATTTTTTTCTAAATCGGAAAATTACGTAAATATATATTTGTAATCTAAAATTTATTATAACTAATAAGTCTTATATAGTTTCAAAAATATCCATTAAAAAAAAATATTTTCTTCAGTTTTCCAAAGTCTATGAATAGTATGAATAATTATTTGGAATCTAAAATAACAATTAAGCCTTATTTGTTTGAAAATATCCACTTCTAAGTATTTTTAACTATTTTGCGTGAAGAATCGTGCATTTGCGTTAGCAATCGTGAAAGATCGTGTAACGTGTAGAATCGTGTGCATGAAGGATCGTTCATGTAACAGGTTTGATCGTGCATAAATTGTGCGGAATCATTCGTATAAAGTGATCGTTCATTTAAGTTGTCAACAGTAATGTTGCAGCCAATGTAAGCAGAGCATTTAAGTTAATTGATTAAATTTTGTGCTGTTGTCCTGCAGAGGTTCTCAGATTCATACATTCTGATTCTCTGACAGGTTTTTCTACTTACAAAATTCTAACAAGTGATAATGAAAAAACCCTTATAAAAACAATTCAATCTTAGAGAAGTTTAATACATTTAAATTGCAATTAAATATGACAAACGGTGATCATTCTCAAAAATACATTTAAACAATACAAATTATGAGCAGAGCCAGCATGAAACTCTGAAAACAGAGGTGGGATCAGGTGCCATGGAGGAGTAAGCATCCCCTGCTGACCTGTCACACCCATCTTGTGTTCCTTGTCATGATCAGGAAAAAGGAAAAATCCATAGACAATCCGTAGACAATTCAGAGTGAGAATAAAACAACTTGTATGAAAGACATCAGTCAACATTCAACTCAATGACAGATTGTATTTGCAAACAAGATCATAGAATCTACTAGTGTTGACTTAAAACAAGATTATTGATATCCTTGTATCATCAACTTATTTGTCAATAGTCTCTCTTGTTAGAAATTATTCGTTTGTAGAACATGCTCTTGCATATCAGATCAACTAAGAAACATACACTCCATATGCAGATGATAATTGTATACTGCTACATAAATAAGGGAAGTTGATGATAGAAAAGGTAAATTCATCACATTAATTAACAATATGTATTTGTGAAACACTGATGCCCCCATATGACAACTTATAGCAAAGGCTAAAATTTCTCAAATGCAAATCAAATATGTTGGTACCCAAAGTAAGGTTTTGTCTTGAGGAATAAACCTGTGAAATATGAAAGCCCTAGCAGCAACCATTGAATAGATATAGTTTTAAAGGAATTTCACAAAATTTTCTATTTTTAGTAACAATGGCAACACCGTTCATAAAAATCAAAAACCAATGCATTAAATTTTGTATGATAGTGCAGTCTTCTTGTGTGCCAAGTTATACTGAAATCAGATCAAAAGTGTAGGAGGAGTAGCATTTTAAAGGAATTTCACAGAATTTTCTATTTTTAGTAACCATGGCAACACCGTTCATCGAAATTAAAAAACTGATGCATTAAATTATGTATCTTAGTGTAGTCTACTTGTGTGCCAAGTTATATTGAAATCAGACCAAAACTGTAGGAGGAGTAGCATTTTAAAGGAATTTCACAGAAATTTCTATTTTTAGTAACCATGGCAACACTGTCCATTGAAATCAAAAACCGATGCACTAAATTATGTATCTTAGTGTAGTCTACTTGTGTGCCAAGTTATATTGAAACCAGATCAAAACTGTAGGAGGAGTAGCGTTTTAAAGAAATTTCACAGAAATTTCTATTTTTAGTAACCATTTCAACACCGTCCATCGAAATCAAAAACCGATGCACTAAATAATGTATCTTAGTGTAGTCTACTTGTGTGCCAAGTTATGTTGAAATCAGACCAAAACTGTAGGAGGAGTAGCATTTTAAAGGAATTTCACAGAAATTTCTATTTCTAGTAACCATGGCAATACCATCCATTGAAATCAAAAACCGGTGTACTAAATTATGTATCTTAGTGTTTTCTACTTGTGTGCCAAGTTATATTGAAATCAGACCAAAACTGTAGGAGGAGTAGCGTTTTAAAGGAATTTCACAGAAATTTCTATTTTTAGTAACCATGGGAACACCATACATTGAAATCATAAACCGATGCACTAAATTACGTATCTTAGTGTAGTCTACTTGTACTTCTTTGCATTGAAATCAGACCAAAATTGTAGGAGGAGTAGTGTTTTAAAGGAATTTCACAGACATTTCTATTTTTAGTAACCATGGCAACACCGTCCATAGAAATCAAAAACAGATGCACTAAATTATGTATCTTAGTGTAGTCTACTTGTGTGCCAAGTTATACTGAAATCAGACCAAAACTGTAGGAGGAGTAGCGTTTTGAAAAATTGTTTACAGACAGACGGACGGACGGACGGACGACGGACACCTTACTATCGCATAAGCTCTTCTGGTCTCTGACCAGTAGAGCTAAAAATACACAGGTGAAATATGAAATCTGAAGCACCAATCGTTCAGAAGTTATGACCAAGGTTGAAGTTTTTCAAAAGTAGGTCAAACTCCAAGGTCAAGGTCAATGGATTACAATTGTTGGTATCCAAAGGAAGGTCTTGTCACAAGGTATAAATATATGAAGTATGAAAGCCCTATCACTAACCATTCAAAAGTTATGGCCAAGGTTAAAGTTTTTCAAAAGTAGGTTTAACTCCAAGGTCAAGGTCAAAAGGTCAAAATTGTTGGTATTCAAAGGAAGGTCTTGTCACAAGGATTACACATGTGAAGTACGAAAACCCTAGCACAAATTGTTCAAAAGTTATGGCCAATGTTAATGTTTGTTAAAATTTTGCAAAACTTGGTCAGACACTAAGGTCAAGGTCAAAAGGTCAAATATGGTGGTACCCAAAGAAAGGTCTTGTCACAGGGAATATACATGTGAAATATGAAAGCCATAGCGCCAACCAATCAAAAGTTATGGGCAAGGTTAAAGTTTTTGCAGACTAACAGACAGACGGACGGACGGACAGGGCAAAACTATATACCGTATATACTGGCATATAAGTCGGTCCGCCTATAAGTCGGTTGTATTTTTTAAGCTAATATTAGAGGGCTTGACACTCTAAAATGCCAATCTTTTTATAACTCGCCTATAAGTCGCACAAAGAGTTTTGGACAAAAGTTTAACTCCCCAAAAACCGACTTATAGGCGAGTATATACAGTACCCCCGAATCTTCAATACGGTGGCATAAAAAGTGTAGTTGTCAGATTGCCATCAATCCTTTTTTCTAGTAAAGCATCCCAATATTAAAGAGATGCATCATACTCAGTAATTATTGCAGGATATTGATGGTGATGTTTTGTTTAAAGTAGGTGAGCCATCAAAAAAGATTTCCAATGTTGTGAGAATGAGAAAAAACTAGAAATATGTCCATAGGAGTTGAATGCCCTGCCCAGGATTCATTAGTGATGCAACATGAATATTTGTATTAGTGTATGAAAATAATAGTATAGTTTCTTTAAAACTAATTTTTAGACATAAATAAATAAATCGGTCTTTTTGGTTAATGCAATACTTACTTGACAATTCTATACAGCTTGTGGATTGTATAATGTTCCTCTCATTACCAGTATTATGCTTTTCTGTGTTTTATTCATTTTATGCTGAAACCCATATATGTAAATATGTTTGGTATAATTCATATGTAGGGAGAGGGCGTATTAAGTTTTAAGAACTTTTGCCCAATCCCAGTTGTAAAGTTTATAGACAATAAAAAAAGATGTTCAAATAAATAAATAAATAGTATAGTCATAAGTCATTAAGAAGGTGAAGGTAAAAAGTTTTGGACAGTTGATAAATTCTCACCAAATTATGTATCAGTGCATAAACTTGCATTAAAAAAGATTGAATAGTGCCTTGGAAATTAAGCTAAATGCAAATTTCAAAAAAGTGAGGTCAAGGGAAGGTCAAGGTCAGAAAATATTTTGATACAGGTCAAGACAATCACCAAAGTGTATCGGCATATGAAGTTTGATTAAAAATATCCTGATGTTTTTTTTTAAACTGAACTAAGCACAAAATTGAGAAAAGTGAAATCAGGTCCAAGGAAATGTTAAGGTCAGAAATGTTGATGCATATGAATAGCTCTTATCAATATGTACAATACGTATGTATAAACATATGAAGTTTGATAGAAAAATATCTTGAGTAGTTACTTTGAAACATTTAAGAAAAGTAGAGTCAAAGTCAAATGAAAGGTCAAGGTCAAAATGGTGATGAGGTTGAATAGCTTTGCATCAGCATATAAGGTTTGGTAAAGATATCTTGAATAATTTCTTTGAAAATGATATAAGTAAATGACATCAAACATGTCTAACAAATAACCAATTACTATTATAATTTTATAAAGTCTTCATAGATCTGACATGGTTTTTCTATAAATAGATTTAACCAATTTATAAATACTCAGAAAGGGAAATAACCCTCACAAATTACTAAAGTCGTGTTTAGATAGGTATTTCATAAACATCTGTAGTTTAAATACATGTAAACAAGTAGTACATACTATAGCATACCGATTTATGAAATTAGGCAAGCTATAGGGGTAGGTACATGTATTCTGTAGCTTCACTATTTTTACAGTCTCAACCTTATAAAACAATGATTATAGGTACAGCCAATATGTATATCAAGACAAAGGCTTCGTAAAGAGAAATTAATAAAGCGTAGTAGTTTCCATGCCATGGAAACTTGACGGAATAACCTGGCATCCGCTGCGGAATCCACTGGGAAACATGATATAAACTTGAGGTTTCCATGTGGTTTCCATATAGTTTCCCATGACGGGAAACTGCTTATTTCACTCAGTGTAATAAACCATACTTTTAAATTACAACATCTATATCTAGCGCTGGTTGAAATCAATATTAATACTGAAAGATCTACACAACCAAGACATAGGCTGTCCTTACGAGAAGTGAGTGCCCCTCTCACTACCCAGAGCATTAGAAAATTATCCAAAATCTTTTGGCCAATAAAAATACTTGCAATGTATTTCGATATAGTCAGCCAACCAGAATAATTAGTATGAACTTGCAATGTGAAACAGGTAAAAGTGCAATGACGAATGATAACTATATACTTAACAACATCTGAGATAATAAATAATTATGGTTTATTGCAGCCCGGAGGACCGGGCTGCTCTATACATATAAGTTTAAGTGTGGGTATATGGGGATTGAGGTGGGAGAAGTTATTCAGAATTAAAGGTTTTCTAAACATTAAAAAGATTGTTAATCAGAATGTTCTTTCCCTTTATAAATTACGGGATACACAATATATTTACTTCCATAAAGTGAATCTGTAAAAATATATATGTTTTTCATATTTAATATATAAAGTTGCTTATCATTTACTATCGAAAAAACGACAGGTCCCCTTTTTTAGAACATCGAATTTTACTTATCGCATAAAAACGTAAAAACGTACTTTACACAGTTCGTATTTTATATTCTTAAAGTGAAAGACATTTTTGAAAATAGGTGATGCATGTGTCTGGTTTCAATTTATATTTTATGCAGCCAACATTTCCTTGAGGAATTGATAAAGTTTACAAGGTATCGTTTTTATTCGATTTTCATCCGACTATAAGTTTTCAAAATATTCTCGACTATCGTCTCCATCATTTAGACGCATGCCTTTTTCACACATATCGAATCGGTTTGGTGATCAAGACTCATTTCCATTGTTTACTTTATTTATTTCCCGGGTTACAATTGATGGTTACATCAATGTTTTCTTGTTTGTTATTTTATATCAACCCACTCTGCCACATACATGTACATGTTCCATTATCAATTTTGTATGTACATATTTTTATTTGTAGGTACTGTTAACAGAGGCAGAAGAGGACCGCGATAATGATACTGTGAATTATTATAAACTGCTTTTTTCAGACAGTTGTTAGAAACAAACATTTAATGTAATAATAAAATGGATTGGTGCTTTCTATCTCTGTATATGAATTGATAAGATTTTGTTGATATATAAGATATAGACAATATCCTGCAAAATACATCTAGTAACTCTTATTGAATAAGACCTTTTTTATGTAAAGTTATTGCATGCAAGCTGTTTGAATAGGTTTGTGAATTTAAAAAAAATGGAAAACGTATCTTCATTTTCTTTAAAATATTGTGAACAAGGAAGGTCGATTTTTTTAGGAGATGGAAAACTCACAATTTCACATATTTGCACATTTTTCAAAACATCAGATATACTCATATGTTAATAAAATTTAAAGTCCTTATGCAATTTATATACACCAGAAAGACAAAACAGCTCAGTATTCTTTTATATGAAAATAAAGCCAATCTTCTATGTCAGCCCCTAAAATTTTGGTGTAATAAAGCTGCTTGCTTGCTGTAAATGGTGTAACTAAAATAAATTGAAAAGATAAGTTTTTATTAGCGTTATCAATCGTACATGCTTGCTGATATTGCAGAAATCGGTCCGATTGGGCAAATTTAAATACACAATTAGTGAGAGTGTCAAGAGACTTTGTGATTTGCACATGTGGCAATTGATAAATTCCTCCTTCTGAGAGAACCTTCAGGTAGCCGTCCGCCAGTTTCCATAGTGCATAAGATCCCCCCTAACCAAGGCACTAGGAATGTTCACACAAAACTATCGCTGTCATTGAAATAGGTCTATAGAAATGAGGTATTACACTGATTAGTGGGGACTTTATCATCAAAGATTTGTCGGTATTCTCGTCACTTCATTCACTGAGAACCGAATAAAAAGATTATTGGCCGACATCTCCTAATTTATGTCTATTAGTTGTTGCCAAAATAATGCCAAAGATTTGATTGTATTGACTGCGGCTTGTGTTTTTGAGAAGGTCTTGGTAACAAAGTTTCTGCAACCTTAGCGGTAAGTAAGGGTATTTTTTTTCTATGATACATGTAATAAACGATAATTGATCTGCTGAAAACAGTTTTAAAAGAAAGTACGGCATTGAAAAAAAAATGATTTTATTAAAAGAATTAAGATAAATTCATATTATACCTGAAATCGGGTACTGAATATGCAAATGATATTACATGTAAATATACGACTATCTTTTGTCAAACTGATTCATGACTAACAAACGCTTATAACTTAAAGCTTGCGAGTTTATAACACGAACAGTCAAGAAATTTGACTTCTATCATCTAAAATTTCTATCAAGTTTGCCCGTAATATTGCTGAAAAAGCTGTATATTTTGTGATGCTAATCTTACGTTTTCTTATTTAAAAAAGAAACAAATAGGGGTTTTTGCAAATTTTAAGGAAAGAGTAAGGTCAAAACAGTTGCTTTTTTAAAAAATATCGTCTTTTCAGCTCAACTGAGCCGAAAGTTGATCAGTGATACATCCCCGGGTAAAAATTAAAATCACGGCCACCAGGGGTCTTCTCAAGTCAGTATAAGAGAACCATGATTCGTGTTATTAAAATGCAAGCATCCACTAGTAGTGCAAATTCTAGTTTGTTCAAATCATGAACACCCAGGTACATGTATAGGATGGTACCATAATAGGATATCGGTGTTTGCATGGATATACATATATAGGAAAGAGAAGTCTTACAAAATCTTCCTCTCAAGAACAATAGGACCATGATTAGTGATATTAATTCTGCAAACATTATCAGGTCTTGTAAATGCAATTTTTTTTTATCTTTTGGGGTAGGATGGGGTCACAATGGAGAATCAAAGAAAAAGAGCAACATAGTCTTGATCGTATTTTAAAAATCTTCTTAAGTACAACAGGGCCATGATATATCAAATTAAATTGCAAGCATCTCAAGGTATAGTGTATATTCAAGTTTGTTCAAATCATGGCCCAGGGCTAGAGTGGGACCAATGTTCTGAAGAATAGCAAGGTGACTCAGGTGAGCTTTGGGGTCCATGAACCTCTTTTTTAGCTCACCTGAGCTGAAAGCTCAAGTGAGCTTTTCTGATCACATTTTGTCCGTAGTCCGTCTGTCCGTCTGTCCGTCTGTCCGTCCGTCCGTCCGTCTGTAAACTTTTCACATTTTCGACTTCTTCTCCAGAACCACCGGGCCATTTTCAACCAAACTTGCCACAAAGCATCCTTGGAAGAAGGGGGTTCAAGTTTGTTCAAATGAAGGGCCATGCCCTCTTCCAAGGGGAGATAATTAAGAATAAGTGAAAATTTGGTGTCTTTTTTTAAAAATCTTCTTCTCAAGAACCATTGGGCCAGAGAAGTTGAAACTTATGGGAAACCTTCATTACATAGTGTAGATTCAAGTTTGTTCAAATCATGACCCCCGGGGGTCGGGTGGGGCCACAATGGGGGATCAAAGTTTTACATAGGAATATATAGGAAAATTCTTTAAAAATCTTCTTCTCAAGAACAACAAAGCCACAATTAGTCATATTGATATGAAATCATCCTCAGGTTGTGTAGATTTAAATTTGTTCAAATCAAGACCCCCGGGGGTAGGGTGGGGCCACAATGGGGGATCAAAGTTTTACATAGGAATATATAGGAAAATTCTTTAAAAATCTTCTTCTCAAGAACAACAAAGCCACAATTAGTCATATTGATATGAAATCATCCTCAGGTAATGTAGATTCAAGTTTGTTCAAATCATGACCCCTGGGGGTAGGGTGGGGCCACAATGGGGGATCAAAGTTTTACATAGGAATACATAGGAAAATTCTTTAAAAATCTTCTTCTCAAGAACAGCAAAGCCATGATTTGTCATATTGATATGAAATCATCCTCAGGTAGTGTAGATTTAAGTTTGTTCAAATCAAGACCCCCGGGGGTAGGGTGGGGCCACAATGGGGGATCAAAGTTTTACATAGGAATATATAGGAAAATTCTTTAAAAATCTTCTTCTCAAGAACAACAAAGCCATGATTTGTCATATTGATATGAAATCATCCTCAGGTAATGTAGATTCAAGTTTGTTCAAATCATGACCCCTGGGGGTAGGGTGGGGCCACAATGGGGGATCAAAGTTTTACATAGGAATACATAAGAAAATTCTTTAAAAATCTTCTTCTCAAGAACAGCAAAGCCATGATTTGTCATATTGATATGAAATCATCCTCAGGTAGTGTAGATTTAAGTTTGTTCAAATCATGACCCCCGGGGGTAGGGTGGGGCCACAATGGGGGATCAAAGTTTTACATAGGAATACATAGGAAAATTCTTTAAAAACCTTCTCAAGAACAACAAAGCCACAATTAGTCATATTGATATGAAATCATCCTCAGGTAGTGTAGATTTAAGTTTGTTCAAATCATGACCCCCGGGGGTCGGGTGGGGCCACAATGGGGGATCAAAGTTTTACATAGGAATATATAGGAAAATTCTTTAAAAATCTTCTTCTCAAGAACAACAAAGCCACAATTAGTCATATTGATATGAAATCATCCTCAGGTAGTGTAGATTTAAATTTGTTCAAATCAAGACCCCCGGGGGTAGGGTGGGGCCACAATGGGGGATCAAAGTTTTACATAGGAATATATAGGAAAATTCTTTAAAAATCTTCTTCTCAAGAACAACAAAGCCACAATTAGTCATATTGATATGAAATCATCCTCAGGTAATGTAGATTCAAGTTTGTTCAAATCATGACCCCTGGGGGTAGGGTGGGGCCACAATGGGGGATCAAAGTTTTACATAGGAATACATAGGAAAATTCTTTAAAAATCTTCTTCTCAAGAACAGCAAAGCCATGATTTGTCATATTGATATGAAATCATCCTCAGGTAGTGTAGATTTAAGTTTGTTCAAATCATGACCCCCAGGGGTAGGGTGGGTCCACAATGGGGGATCAAAGTTTTACATAGGAATACATAGGAAAATTCTTTAAAAACCTTCTTCTCAAGAACAACAAAGCCACAATTAGTCATATTGATATGAAATCATCCTCAGGTAATGTAGATTCAAGTTTGTTCAAATCATGACCCCCGGGGGTAGGGTGGGGCCACAATGGGGGATCAAAGTTTTACATAGGAATACATAGGAAAATTCTTTAAAAATCTTCTTCTCAAGAACAGCAAAGCCATGATTTGTCATATTGATATGAAATCATCCTCAGGTAGTGTAGATTTAAGTTTGTTCAAATCATGACCCCCGGGGGTAGGGTGGGGCCATAATGGGGGATCAAAGTTTTACATAGGAATACATAGGAAAATTCTTTAAAAATCTTTTTCTCAAGAACAACAAAGCCACAATTAGTCATTTCGATATGGAATCATCCTCAGGTAATGTAGATTCAAGTTTGTTCAAATCATGACCCCCGGGGGTAGGGTGGGGCCACAATAGGGGATCAAAGTTTTACATAGGAATATATAGGAAAATTCTTTAAAAATCTTTTTCTCAAGAACAACAAAGCCACAATTAGTCATTTTGATATGGAATCATCCTCAGGTAATGTAGATTCAAGTTTGTTCAAATCATGACCCCCGGGGGTAGGGTGGAGCCACAATGGGGGATCAAAGTTTTACATAGGAATATATAGGAAAATTCTTTAAAAATTTTCTTCTCAAGAACAACAAAGCCACAATTAGTCATATTGATATGGAAACATCCTTAGGTAGTGTAGATTCAAATTTGTCGAAATCAAGACCCCCGGGGGTAGGGTGGGTCCACAATGGGGGATCAAAGTTTTACATAGGAATAAATAGGAAAAATCTTTTAAAATCTTTTCAAGAACAGGAAAGCCGTGATTAGTCATTTTGATATTGAAGCATCCCCAAGTATTGTAGATTCAAGTTTGTTCAAGGCATCCTCCAGTAGTAGGGTGGGGCCATAATCGGGGATCAAAGTTTAACAAAAGAATATATATAAGAAATATCTTAAAAAATCTTCTTCTCAAGAACAACAAAGCCATAATTAGTCATATTGATATGGAAGCATCCTTAGGTAGTGTATATTCAAGTTTGTTCAAATCTTGAACCCCCCCTCCCTTCCTTCCCCCCAGGGTAGGATGGCAGACATCTTTAAAATTCCGTTTCAAGAACAGCAAAACCATGATTAGTTATATGAATATAGAAGCATCCTCAGAAAGTTTAGATTCAATTTCATTCAAAACATGGCAAATGGGGATAGCTTATGCCTAGAACAGTTGGTCAAAGCTTTACGTATGAATATATAGAAGAAGAAATCTGCTGACAAAGAACAGCAGGGCCATATTGACTCAGGTGAGCGTTGTGGCCCATGGGCCTCTTGTTTTAATTAGCTCACCTGCTTCATTTCTTACGTAATTTAATGATAACCAAAAAGTATTGGGAAGTAAGTTATTATTATGGCATACAGTCTAAACTCATTAACATTGTACTTGATTTTTACCTTTGAGGCATGACTAACGTCATAAATCGATTTGGCCTAATCAGACGCTCGGGCCATTTAAATTATGATGACGGAAGTTAAGTGG